GAATCCCAATATATGTATAACTGATAGGGCTCTAGTTTATCAATGGCTCGATTTAAAGAGATCAGCATTATTATACTGTACCCCTGTTTGAAAAAAAAGTAATACCTAAAGCTTGAACATGATGAGCTAAGCATATGTTGGGATAGTCTTTAAGATTTACTATGCCCTTTAGCTCACTCATCATGTCCTTAGGGATTAAATCGAGATCACATGAAATATACACAGAGACTCAGGTGAGTTCATCCTGCTTTGTAGGATTTTTTCCCTCACCATTACTTTCTTTGATCAAGTTATTCTTTTTTTCTTATTCTTTCTCAAAACCCTTTTCGTCACAAGCATTTGATTATAGAGTGAAAGATGGATCCCAAGAAAGAATAGTTGACAAAAATAGCTCGATCTTAAAAAAAAAAAAGATGAGATAAAGACCTTTCAGGAGAAAATAAGATGTCAAGAAAAATTGATTGAGGTAAGAAAGTAGAAGTGATAAGACGTGAAAAAGATTGAACCCCAAAAAAGAAAAAACCTGAAGAAGAAAGAAGGTCAGTTATAGAATATAAATTGACCTAAGAGATGGAGAAAGCGGTGGATTTTAAAGTTCGAAGTCGATCTGAGCATATAGCTCTTCAATGTTTAAAACTTACTCACCTCTTGCCTAAACATTCCTTTCATTGCATTGTTGCCTTTCTTCGAATATTAGATTAAACCAATAGGCCATTTTTGTATAATTACAGCCTCCAATAACAAGGGGGATCAAGTCGTTATCCTATTACTCTTGCTAATCTCCCATTGGCTCTACCTTATAACTCTCAGCCCCTCCAGAACACATACTAGAAGATATAGTTAAAAATACGTATCAAGACGAAAGCAAAAAGAACTTGAAAGGCAAGGAAGTTGTGAAGATAAAAAATTTTAGGTCAAATCGAGAGTAAAAAAAGTGAAAAATGAAAAGCTAAATCCTTATCAGCCCTTTTATATAGACACGTTTTAGTTTAGAAAGATGACACGATCTTCACCACGTGTTAAAAAATGGACGGGTAGACATTTTTTCATATTTCTAGTCTAAACCTTCCCATTCAAACTGTTTTTCTCCTCATTTAATGTTTTCAAACTAACCTAACTGGATGAACCACAGATTAGACTAGCCAAAATGAATGACTGTCAAAGGTAAATCGAGAGCTTGGTTCATTCCCAGGATTTAAAACAAAGGCTCAAGCCTAAATTTATGAAAGAAAACACAAGTCTCACTATGACCATACAAACTCTAGCCATAATCTTGAATCACCCCAGACAGTTGTCACCTCGATAACTTTTAAATCGATTATGCACTCATCCCAAAACACACGTGCGAGATTAGATAACCGTTAGGTCGAACCAAACTCAAAGCTAGTCATCGTTCAAAATCGATCTCCCTCTACAACGTTGACTTTCGATAAAATATGTAACCACTTGCCTTATACTGGGGATATTGGTAACAAATTTGATGATCTAATACTCAAATCGCTTGATGGGGAGACATAGTGCTAGAAGCATATAATGGTTAAAAGGGCATAATGATCTTTTTTCCTATCTTAGTTTTTAGTAGACAATCAATGGTATCTTGGTCATTTGTGCTAACTTGATATGTCAAGTCGGTCTGACATCTTCAGTGCTACCTAACCTCAACCTTGTCCTAATTGTCCCCTTTTTATCCTCCTCACCTTGCCTATAAATACGAAGACTCGGGCACTATGAAGCTTGGTTCAAAAGACTTATACCTTTCTCTTTTTCTTATTTTTTCATCTCTTTTTCGACCTAATTCTTACTGATTTACGCATCGGAGTGTAAATGCAGAAAACACCTGCTATTTTTACGTCTAATCGTTCCTCTCTTCTACCTTTACAAAAAAACTCTCAGGTTGAGCTCGGCACCAACAAATAGGTTATGTATTTATGTATTTATTATTTTTAGCTATATATTTATTAATTGGTTTATTATATAATTATATAAATGATTTATATCATAACTATAATAAAGTTATGTGAACAATTTTAAAAAACAAATGAAAAATATAAGTTAACAAAAAAAAAAAACAAAACAAGACAAAAGACAGTTTATAAGTGATAAATGGAATTTTTGTCACTACACTTACATTAGAGGGAAAAAGAAAAAAAAAAAAAAGATGACAGGGGCATAAAGGGGAAGAAGGGTAGAGATGAAAAACTTCATTTTACATTGGATCCTCAAGCATCAGTGATGATTGGAAGCATTACTGTGATCAGAGAAGGCACAACTGTGTTGCAGCTTAAGACACAAATAGCTTTAGATGATGACTAAAGCTTCAAACCGTGTCGCATCAAAAATAATTGATGATCCAAATGTACATGAAAAAAATTCATTTTAACTTAAATAATTTTAAATTCAAATTTTACTGATGTAATATGCTTTTTTAAGTGGTGTAACTTGAATTAGTTACATCGGTGTTTTTAAATTATAGAAGTCATGGCCCCTCTAATTTCAAATTTAAATTGAAAATTGTGGTTTTATTATTGAATTTTTTAATAGGCTTTTTAAGCCTAATTTTGAAATCTGAATCTCTCTTTTTTAATATATACATATATGTATGTATGTATACTATGCATATTAAAAACATTTATAATCCATCTTTGCCCCACAAGGATCTAATAAGAGCAGAAATCCTCTTTTCTTGCTATATTAAAAAAAAAGTATTTGATTTATCATATAAAATTTCTAACAATAATAACTTTAAAATAATTAAAAAATTACATATACATATATCAAAATAAATATTATTACATCTAAGTTAATCAATCAACGGTTAGAGTTCAATCAATGCACTAAGACCCATAGGTTACTCAGACAAGACATATTCAAACAGATATGTCACCTACATTAAGGGAATGTATCACCACCTACTTTGGGAAGTCACCTCGAAACTTACCAACGGGCCACCGATTTGTTTTGTATCATTAAATGTTGTCCCAAAATTGTTAAATATAACTTAAATATGTTTGATATCATTACATACAATTTCCATCCATTCGTGTGAGATCTTCTCAAGCTTCACACAAATATACTCTCAATTATCAATCGTCTTAGTCAAATAATGATTTTATATCCTAGATAAAAGGTAAAGAAAAAACCAAATACGCAAGATAACTAAGGTAGAGGAAAGCTTAAGACTCTTTTTCTCCAAAAAAACACTTTACCATCTTTTCCATTTTCTTTGCCTTATTCCCATAACATACCTCTGGCAATATATTAACTTGAGTTTGAAGTGTGCCCCAGAGTGACAATTCTGACATCTTCTTATCGTATTTTTTTGGTTGCAGGTTATAGTTGTTCTTTCTTTCAATTTCATTTATTTATTATCCTTAGCTAACATACTAGAAAATACCATCAACAAATATAATTCTATATTACAAAAATCTACCAAATAAAATTTATAAAAAGATTAAAATAAATGTTAATTCAAATGAAATTTATAATATAAAAATTTGTATTCATTCTCGAAATTTCATTCCAAATCTACTCTCGTTGGATAAGGAATCAGGCTTTTATCAAGTTCAGCTGAAAATAACGTCACTCACGCTTATAATATATCACTCAAAAATAAAAGGAAAAAATAAGATAAATTTCATCATCATCTCTAACTTTATATTTGCTTTCACTTTAGTCCCTAATAGTTGAATTTTTCTATATGAATCCTAACCTTTTTAAATAATTCCATTTTGATCCTTTCATTAGATAATTTTGTTAACAATGAGCTAATGTTACAGTTGTAATTTATGTGACACATGAACTTGAAATTTAGTTCATATGATTCATTCATTTCTTTTAAGAGGTAGATTTTAATAAGATAGAGTTCAATTCCTATAAAATACAAAATTTCCTTTTTTCCTTGAATTTTGGTCTCTTTGTAAAAGGAAAAAAAATGTGAATATTACCTCGACATGCTGCATAGGTTTTTTTTTTTTTTCAATTGTTAATGGAGAATTTTAATAAAATAATCAAAATGAAACCAAATTAAAAGATTAAGGGTCCAAATTAAAAAAAATTAAAAATTAAAAATAGAAGTGAAACCAAAATAAAAATTTAATGATCCTAGATGAAATTTATCCAAAGAACTAGTAATATACTTTTTTCGTCTATGTTGTTAGTCGCTCATTAATTTTTAGGGAGTTGAAAAAAATTCACTCTGTTATATACTTCTATTATTAAATTTTAAACTTTTATTATTAATTTTGGCTAAAAAATTTTATTTAATAAATTTGATGTTCCATAATTTTCTTATAATAAAAAAATAAAAAAATAAATTACATTTGTTTGTTGCTGAGCTAATTTGTTGGGGGTAAAACCCTAAAATCAATAAAAAAAAGAAAGAAAGCGATTAAAACAAAGGCTTGAAGTGGTTTTATTGTTTGTATTTTGATGCTCAAGTAAAAAAAAGATGAGAGAGAAAAATAAGAAAAAATAATAAAGAAAATAATAGAAATGAGAGTATTAGATGAATTGAATGATACTTGGATGTCCTTTTTCATAATTGAAAAATATGAGTTTTTAGGCAACCCAAGTTACTCAGATCAATCTTGTAATTAGGGGTGACCCAAAAGGTGAGCTAATTATGACACTGATTGTCCACTCAGAAGATGACAAGTTAGCATAACAAAAATGATTTATTGAATGGATTGATAAAGTGATTGAGCTGACATGACACTATAATTTCATGTTGATTTAATATGTTTGATCAATTTAAAATTCTAAAATACTCTTATTACCTGTTGACATCTTTTAATAAAGAAAAAATAATCAATACTCATTGGATCTTAAAAAACTCCTAATAACACCATATTGGATTGAATACCTTTTCTTTGTTCAAATCAAATTATTGTTATTTTTTAAATTGATCTAATAATTATTATTATTATTATTATTATTATTGTAGTTACTAAAAAATTATAGTTAATAAAAAAAACAAAGATAGTAACCCCATCTCCCTTTTCCATTCCGCCCATAAAAAATTTGTAACCATTTCTATGTATAAAAACTTCAAAATCATAAGGCTTTCAGCTTTGTTTCCCTTCCCATTGTGTTGGTGAAGTACCATTAATACTCGGTATTACCAAATTGGTTGAGTCACAAGCAATACAATTACAATTTACCACAACAAAACAAAACAAACAAACCCCAAAAAACAAGAAGAAGAAAACAACAGGGAAATCAGGAAAGAAAATACACTTTGTATTACAGAAACAAAGAGAAAGAGAAAGAGAAAGAGATCACATCTGAGATATTTGAGGCAATGAATAAGAAAATCACATCACCATCATCATCAACAACAACAACAACAAAGCCCACAGGCACAGTTTTGCCATACCAAACCCCAAGACTAAGGGACCACTATTTGTTAGGCAAGAAGCTTGGGCAAGGTCAATTTGGCACCACTTATCTATGTACCCACAAAGCTACTGGCTTCCTTTACGCTTGCAAGTCAATCCCAAAGCGCAAACTTTTATGCCGTGAAGATTATGATGACGTTTGGAGAGAGATTCAGATCATGCATCATTTGTCTGAGCACGGAAGTGTGGTGCAGATCAAGGGTACTTTTGAAGATTCTGTGTTTGTTCACTTGGTTATGGAGCTTTGTGCAGGTGGGGAACTTTTTGACAGGATTGTGGCTAAGGGTCATTATAGTGAAAGAGAGGCTGCTAAGCTTATCAAAACTATTGTTGGTGTTGTGGAGGCTTGTCATTCTCTTGGGGTTATGCATAGAGATCTCAAGCCTGAGAATTTCTTGTTTGATACTCCTGGTGATGATGCCGTTCTTAAGGCTACAGATTTTGGTTTGTCTATCTTCTATAAGCCAGGTTGGTTCTTCTCTTTTCTGTTGTTTATATGTTAGTGTTGAATAAAAGCCTTCTTTTTTTTTTGAATGATTAATGTACTTCTGGAAGAACCAAGAAATAGCCTTTTTTTTTTTTTAATTTAGATCGATTCTCTGATCGGAAGTTGGGGACTTTCTTGATTCTTTGATTTGAAGCTCAATACCTTGTTGAAGGGTATTGATATCTTCTATTGGCTGTTTCCATGATTAAGGTTTTCTTTTATCTTTTTTTCATTTTTTAATTGGATTGATTCTTTAAAGTTCTTGGGATATTTATTTTTCATCATCTTGATTCACTGAATGTTCTGCAGATACTGTTCATTAGGATCAGTTCCTTTTGGATATTTCATATTTTGTGTCTATTTTTCTAAGTTCATTTTTTTAAATTGTTGGGAATGTTGGTTCTGGTTTATTTGATTTGAACAATGCTCCGTTATACGTAGTCCATTTTTTTAAGAAGGTGGTTTCTTTAGTTTTGTTCATAATTAATGTACTAAATATCTAATTCAATTAAATACAATGTGTAAACCTTCTTCAACATTAATTGGGATGGTTTAATGACCACCAATTGCTTGGAAAACTCTCCATATTGATGCCAATGTCAGCATCACTAGATTTTCAGCTCGTGCCTCTGTACCGAAATCTGCTTGCTTATAAGAATCATTTTCAAATTTCTTGTGCTTGGAAGAATCCTTAGGCTTCTTCAAAGGATGGGCAACTTCGCTAATGCTTTACCTTTGTTTTTTTGTGGTGTTTTCTCTCATAGTTAACGGGAGTTACTTTTTCTATCCTTTTCCCTTACAGGACAATATTTTTCTGATGTTGTTGGGAGTCCCTATTATGTTGCACCGGAGGTTTTGTGCAAGCACTATGGACCAGAAATAGATATATGGAGTGCTGGTGTTATCCTTTACATCTTGTTGAGTGGGGTTCCACCATTTTGGGCAGGTATTTATCTCAACAACCGTACTCCCTGCAACAGTTGGTGCCATTTTTATTTTCTCATATCCTAAGATATACTAACCTTTATTTTCTACTTGCAGAAACTGAATCAGGAATCTTCAGACAGATTTTACATGGAAAAATTGATTTTGTATCTGAGCCGTGGCCTAGTATCTCTGAAAGTGCAAAAGATCTAATACGAAAGATGCTTGAGAGGCACCCGAGGCAAAGAATTTCTGCCCATGAAGTCCTATGTAGGTCATTTGAATATTATGTCATCCAAATTATTATGTATTTGCTATAACAAGGGAATGACAATGCCCCACCTATTGTGTATGTATATAAGTCACAACAGTGGGTTAATTTATGCGGCAGGTCACCCATGGATTGTTGATGATAGAGTTGCCCCAGACAAACCTCTGGATTCTGCTGTTTTATCGCGCCTGAAGCAGTTCTCAGCAATGAACAAACTTAAAAAGATGGCCTTGCGTGTATGTGATTTTCCTGTTTTATCTTCCAAATATCTATAGTTATTGAAAAATTTTCCATGGAAATCTGATTGTGAAGTTTTTATCTACTAGTCTTCTATTCTGAATTTAAAAATGCATCTTCTTGCTGAAGGATTATTAATGCTGAATTCATGTTGTGACTTTTAGAAACTGATGGAGGATATCTGAAACTAGAGTGAAGTCTGTCTTGGGCATTAGGAGAATAAAAATGATCAAAAGCTTCTGATTGAATGTATTGAAATGAATAAAATCTGGCATAAAATGGTCATTCTGATTTTGTAGAAATAAACATAAGAGTCTGCTAAAATTGAGTAATAAGATTTTACAGATCTTAGCATTTCCATATTAGTGTTATTTTTTCTCTATCACACTTTAAATTATGGAAATGGTCTTTTGAACCTGTATTCAAGTCTGAAGTATGGATTTTACCTAGGTCTGCCAAGATTCTTCAAGCTTTTATTTTTGCTTCATTTTAAACCAGATCATGGGAGATATACCTTGCAGTTTTTCTTAACATGGTGTAGTGCTGTGATCTAATGCATTCTGCATAGAAGTAGGTTGGCATTTATATTTGGTATGGTGCCCAACTTGTTATTTTAATATTCACTTACAAGGCATTATCACTTTTAATATATATACAAGCTTTCCCTTTCACTTAATTTTTAATTTTTGATGTATTGAATTTTTGGGGTGTGTGCATTGGAGTCTCGTGCTAAAGTCTCAGCAAGTATTACTCAAAATGTTTTGGCTAAATGAGGCTTAGTTAGATGGAAGCATGGGTCTGGGCTTTGACAGGTTTTTAGGTGGAGACATTTACGTTGTCCATAATATTTAAATGTTTAGAGGAACCTATCATACTGAAATGATAGGCCCTGTAGTGGGCCTCTGTTTCTACTACAATTCATTGCATTTGAATTGTGGTGGTAAAATCTCAAACTTCCAAAGTCGAACCATCTTCTTGAGCATAGTTGTTTATGTTATAACTCATATTGGTGTAGAAATATATTTTCATGTGAGTAACAAGTTTATCCATTCATATTTATTGTTACAATGATTCTTGGACTCTAATCAGCTGAGTTGCAGGTAGAGTGCAAACATCCAATTCATCGTTTTGGTTTATCCAGCAAAACAGACATTTGGTGTTGGCTGGCTGGAGATTAGTTGGGTCGATGCCAGGGTTTGGAATTTAATGGTTTTTGGTGGAGAGTTACATTGTCCATGATGTTGTAACTGTTGTTAGGCAGCTATGACACTCAACTATAGCGTCTGTAGTGGATAGCTCTTTCTGCTGCAGTTTCTTGCAGTAAAAGTCAAGATTGTAATCCCTTAAACTTCCAAAATTTTAACAATCTTCTTAATGTTGATGCGTATTAACTTTATCTGGGGCTTGTGAATAAATACTACCTCAAACCATCCTTTCAGCCCAAGAAGTAAATTTGTCATTAAAAAGCTTCATGAGAAGTGTAAGGGGCAGGGATTGCTACGAGGGAGGGAAACGAAGGCAAAACTATTGTAATTCTGTTTTACTTGTGTTTGTAGACAAGAAGTAGTTTATTGTGCATAATTCATCTTTAATATTTGTAGAATGATTCTTTAACTCTAGTCAGCTGCACGGTAGAATATGACCTGTCATCATCTTTGTTTTGCACGGCAACTCAGGCATGCATGAAATAAAATCAGTTACAAGACTTAATCTTTTGTCATGGTTGTTTGGGTCACTGTGAAAAATAATATGCCCTTCTAGCATTTGTATGTTTCAAATTCATTCTTTATCATGGAAAGAAATTCTTTTGCAGGTCATAGCAGAAAGACTCTCCGAGGAAGAAATTGGTGGTCTGAAAGAGTTGTTCAAAATGATTGACACAGACAATAGTGGGACAATAACGTTTCAGGAACTCAAAGACGGTTTAAAGAAAGTGGGATCTGAACTAATGGAATCGGAAATCAAGTCTCTAATGGAAGCTGTAAATATACTTTCTTGAATTGTTATTGAAAAATTAATGTAACTTTAATGTTTGTGCTATAGTCTAGGTATGATATTCTCTACTGTTACTAAAATGATTGAGTATGATGACAATCACAAATATTGCCTTGGGAATGTTGGCAGGCTGATATAGACAACAGTGGGACAATTGACTATGGTGAATTCCTCGCTGCTACACTGCACATAAATAAGATGGAGAGAGAGGAGAACTTAGTTGCTGCTTTCTCCTTTTTTGACAAAGATGGTAGTGGTTACATCACCATAGATGAACTTCAACATGCTTGCAAAGAGTTTGGTCTAGATGATGTTCATCTGGAAGAGATGATGAAAGAAATCGACCAAGATAATGTAAGTATGACTTGTTGATTGGACCTTCAAATTCTAAAGTTTCTTTTTCGCATTCTGCATTGTGAAGTTATATCACAATAGTTTTCATATATCATCATCATGATCATATTTTCATTATCATTTCATTTCAGCTGTATGAGTGTTATCATGGAGATGAACTTCTGGGAGTATTCTATTGGAGAAATTAGTGAGTGTAATGAATCTAGTGGCCTAATAAGTGTGAAGGATAGGAGTAGCAAACCCATGGAAGGAAAATTAAATTACCTGTTTTTTCCTTCTTCACCCTTTTCCCTACAAAATATAGTCTTAGTGGTTGCTGTAACCTGTAGCCCTTTTACTTCTCCATCTCTTGTTTGCTTTCTGTTCCCAGAATTTTTTCTTTATATTTTGGTGAAGCTTAACAGTGTTATGTAGCGGCAACTTGAAACAATGAAGAAAAGGATTGTATGTTAGCCACAGGTTTTGCAGTTAAGGAAATTTACTTTTAGTCTCAATGGTTCTGGTCACATATTTTTATATTCTTGCCTCCAACAAATGTGACACTGGGGTATTTCATCAGTCCTTGGCTCTAAGAATGAGCCGAGCAGTTATAATTTGGATAAGATTTGGAACAGACTAAAAGCTTCTAGAGGTAGATCATGAAAGATGCGGATACAAGTAATAAGAGATTATATGAGGGTTGAGGAAGTAAATAAAAATGTTGTTTTTGATAGAAATGAGTGGTGCAAGAAAATTCAAAACTACGACTTAACATGATTCCTTTATTTGTGTTTTCATACACCTGACCTCAGAGTTATGGGATATAAAGCTTAGTTTGTTGTTATTATTGTGTAAGTGATATTACGTTTATCCAAATAAAACAGAGTTACCTGCTGTGAGATCACAGAGCTTATGATTGAGTTATTTTTAGGCTGGAGTCTGTGTGTGTCTTATATTGGTTATAGTGCTGCTGGCTATAAAAAGGTCATTATCTTTGAATCATTTAAAATCCGTCTGAAAGCAAATTGATATATTTGTGTTAAAAATGTACTAAAATCTATCAGGATGATAAATCATTTTAATTTCTTATTCCTAACTTTTATTATGATTGTATAAAAATGCAGGATGGGCGAATAGATTATGGGGAGTTTGCAGCAATGATGAGAAAGGGTGATGGGATTGGAAGAAGCAGAACCATGAGAAGCAACCTGAACTTCAATATAGCTGATGCCTTTGGAGTGAAAGACCCAACATGTGATGCTAAATGAAAATCAATCTCCTTGTGTAGCTAGCAACATCTTGTCACACTTAAATCGAAGGTTAATGATACTGACGTTTCGTTTGAGTTGCCTAGGGTATCTATGGTTCTTTAGGTTGATGATTGGATTTTATTCAAATTTATATATTTTATTTAGGAACGTGACGTTTTCGTCTTATCCTTAATGGTTGCTGGAAATGACATAACTGCTATGGCATTTGGTAGAATAAATATTTTCAGTCTCCACTAATTTTCAGCATGAGGCAATATATGGTGGGAATGCCATGACATGCTGTTTGACAAAGTGATAATTGAAGACCCGATGTTTCATCCTGAAATAAGAAACAGGATTAGTACTAGCATATATGGCACCAAATTTATCAAAGAGATGAATTGGAGGAGAGGATTGTAAGATACGTAGTTCAGGCAGGAGCTTGTTTATCTAAACTAACTCAGCAGCAGTGTTAGCTATTGCCCTATATATTCAGCTTTAAATGAAGATTTGGCACCAGTTCTCTGCTTGGTTGGTTGATTTCCAAGAGATAGAATTGCCTCCAAGATAGATATTGTAAGCAGCAGTGGTAGAGATTTTATATCTAAGTTTCTTCCTTAATCAGCATCACTAAGATGATTTTTTTTTTATAACAAATTAACCAGGAATAGTAGTGCCTTAAAATTCCTAAGGGTTGAAGCATGCATCTGCTGAGACGGGTTATTAATGGCATGAGTTATGTCTTGTTCATCTTGTCTAGTAATGAAGAAGTATTGTAGAGAACCAATTAGTTTCTGAATGCAATTGCATCAGCTGGTCCAGAGCCGTATCTTTCAGTTGCATTTTAATACCAGATGCCATTGGCTTCGCTTTAGTCATTTCAAAATTTTTCAAAATGTATCGAATCTCTTTGTGCCGATTAAAAAAAAGTTTTTGCTTAAGGATATAAACGAACAGAATTTTTCATAAATTGTTCACGCATATATTTGATTTTTATTTATTTATATTCATTTATTAAACTTGATAAATGATTTTGATTAATATTTTTATATTTATTTATTAAATGAATTAAATATAAATAAAAATTTATTTTATTTGTTTATATTTACGAATAAATTTATTTAAAATTTAGCTAATTTATTATTTATTTGATATGCGTTATAATAATATTAATAAAATTATATTTTTATTTTTCATCTTAATTTTATTTTAAAATTTGTTTATATTCGTTTAAATTTTGATTGTTTAAATTTATTTGTTTATGATTTATTTATTATTCATGAATAAATACTTTTATTAATATTTAAGAATATATTTATTTAATATTTATGAATAAATTTATTTAACTTAATCAAAACGTATATAAATTAAATAAATTAAATATAAATATCTTACTGTTTAAATAAATTAGATTCAAATAAATAAAATAATTTTTTAATCAAACTCGAACCGAATCTAATCATTTAAAAAAAAAAAATGAACAAACTACGAAAATACGTTTCGTTTGTTTTATTGGTTTTAAGCCAAACTCTGGTATAAGTAGAAAACTAGAAATGACCTCAGTCCAAAAAGAAAATTATTATTGTTTTCGTTTTTCCTTTCAAAAAATTATTAAGAAAAAGAAAGTTATCCGAAAGTCTATTTAGGCGGAGGAGAAGAGTGATAAAACAGCAAGCTCATTTCTTAACACCCCCCCCCCCTCCCCCCCCAAAAAATGGCAACTTCCTTTGCTTATGCGACGTTGGCTTTCAGTTCTTCTTTCACTACTCATTGCAAAATCTCAAACCATCGTCACCAAAATTCTCTTCTTTGTTCTCCTTCAAAAACTCCCATTTTCTCTCTCTCTAAACCCCTTTCTTTGACGCTCACTTCCTCTCCTCTCCTCTCCAAACCACCCACATTTTCTTCAATTCCCAAATCCTCTGAGTCCGATGCTGCCGTTGTTGAGGCGGAACCTGATAGTGTAGAGCCCGAACCAGAACCAGAATCAGCTCAGGCTGTTAAGGCTGCCAATGAGAAGCCTAAAAGGGAAGAGATTTTTGCTGTTGTTATGGTGAGTTATGGAATTATCAGTCTCTATGCTTCTCTAAATAATTTTTTGGATACCCTTTTGGCTATTTTATTTGGTATTAGTGTAATTTAGCTACTACCCAGAATGTATTTTTGGTTTGTTTTAGATTGGGTCTCGTCAATTCATTGTTATCCCTGGACGATATCTCTATGTCCAGAGGCTCAAAGGTGCAAATGTCAATGATAAGGTTGGTGCTTCAAGTTTCTATTTTTTTTTCTTTAATTCTCTTCTTAATTCATAATTGCTTGAAAAGTTGTTATCTTTGTTGACATGTTCGAATTTCTTGCAATGTCAAGCATGGTTAAAAACAAGCTTGCAATTATGATCAAGTTTGTGATGTTGTCATTTTTGCTTGTATGTTTGAATTATGGAAACCTTTACCCTGGAATTGCCTAAACTGCAAAATGGTCTGGTATGCAATTGGTTGTGGAACATTGCATGCTTGGTTATGCACGATCTTCCAGTCACAATTTGCATAAGCTAACTACTAGACGGAAGAAATGCAAATATACAAAAGTTGTAGGAAGTAATTGAATAATACATGGGCTTCAGTTATTATGGAGATGCCATGAATGAAACAACGATGGTTTTATTCTTTTCAGTAGTTGTATTTTTCTCATTTGTGGTTCTACTTACTAATTTTGTTGGTTTTGGTAGTTGTTTAATATTTCAAAAGTGGTTGCTGGATGGTGCATTCTATTGACCAGTTTATGTCCTACAAGATTAAGGTCTGTTCATGCTTTTGGATGCAGGAGAGCTGGCTCCTTGACCATTTTCCAGATCATGCTTTCCTTTTTCAGTTTCAAGCACTCATCTGTATTGTAGATTTTACTGTATTACTCACATTCTTGCTTCCTTGTAGCTTTGAGCGTCATTATGTGGTCAAACATATAGGATAGCTTGTTGGCTGATACCTATGATATAGGTAACTGAGAAACACAGGAGTTTTAGTCTCTGAAATGAAGAATTGATGGATTATCTTTTGCTCCATTCATCCATGATATTTAAATTTTGGTTATTTTGTATTCTTTATTTGCACATGATCGTTTGATGGAAGTTACAGAGGCTTATTCCAAGAGCAATTTTTAGGCATTAGGAAGAGAATGAATTCCCTATCTCTGCATCCAATCTCCCTCCTGAGAAAATTGTTGGTAATTATGGCTGAACTCCATGCAGTATCAATAGGAAAGAAACCGAATACCTTGGTAATCTTTAACGTTGATAGCATCATTTAATTTTCATCCAATGATGCTGTTTGCTAATAACGGCCTTCTTAATAGTTATGTAATCTGTTCACTTGGATGACTTCAAACAAGTTGGTGTCAAGTCATGACAGGTGCTTGGACAGTTTTAAAATATTTACATGCTTGTGATCCGTCAGCTACATTACCTTTCTCCACTGTTTGATACTGGCATTTGGGTCTGGTCAATAAAGACTGTTATGTCTAGGTGATTCGGTTATACACCATTGAAGCTTGGCTCCTAGAAAAAATTTGTTTGTGACTAGAAATTTTCTTCATTAACCTAGTGTAAAGAATCTGGAAGGAGTCTTGGACTGTAGTATATTTGTGAATTTCCAAGCAGTGGAAGCTATCTCTAGACATTCTTCTAAAATGCATAATGATGTCTTTGCTAGTGAAATTGGAGAGAATGGAAAATTTATGTGAAAGGGTACCTGAAAGCTTTCCCACCAAATGCAAACTTACTATTGTATAACTGTAGATTATAAGCCACCTGTACTTAAGCTCATGTGGTAAGAAGGTTGGGCTTCAGGGTAGAGTTGTTGGATTGAACTGTAGCACTTTACTCTTTGTTAATTACCTTCTTTGTAACTGCCGCTTCTAATAATGATGTAACACTTGATGAGAAAAAAAGTTCAGTTTCCTTTTATTGGTATGACTATTGCTGCACTCTCCATATTTTTGAAATTAGTGTTAGAATGATAGCACCATGTTGTGATTTGCAAATTGCAGGTAACACTGTTTTCTTGTTCTGATTTGAGAAACAAAAGACAGTGCATTTTTCACTCTACTACTATTACTCCCATTTCAGCCTGGGCTGGCGTGGGCTTTTTCTACAATTCCAGAGTATTTATAGTCAGGGCAGTTTTATTGCAGTCTCTTTTGAAATAGTTCCCTTTTATTAACATCAAACTCAATTTAAATTTATGTTTGCGGTATAAGGAACATAAATGAAAAGCGTATTGTGTGCTCAAGGACCTTGGCAATTCTTGTGTACCCAAATTCTAAGAGCTTTGTTTACTTGATTTTAGAAAAACTATTGCTTTCATTAACCTTTGCAGTGGCCTGAGATGGTGTTAACCTTGTCTATGATCTGACAATCTCACTCTGTTAACTTGTACATCTGTTCCATGCTCTACGCTCGTTTATTTTTCCATTCCAGAGAGTTAGTAATTTCATCACTTGTCAACTTTAATTTCCATGTGTTATCTTCTGCCTTTAAACACTTGAATTTGTTTTGTTTCACAGATTGTTCTAAACAAGGTATTGCTTGTGGGAACAAAAACAACTACATATATTGGAAAACCTGTGGTAACTAACGCAGCTGTACATGCCGTTGTTGAGGAGCAGGTAGATTACCTCCTGATATTGTGCATTTACCTTTTTAATTTTTGCTTTTACTTTTTTATCCCTTGCGCCTGCTTGTTACCTCTGTTGCCCTTTTTTTTTTTTTTAATGTAGGGATTAGACAAAAAAGTAATTGTATTCAAGTACAAGAAGAAGAAAAATTATCGGAGAAATATTGGACATCGACAGGTATGACAAGTTTTTGACTTAATAACAATTGATTGGTGAACTAGCTACTAAAAATTAAAATTTGTGATTAAGTTGTTTAGTATGTCAAATAAAAATAAAAATTTTAGCATGTCTTGTTATTCTTTTTATCTATTTATTTACCTTTTGCTGCATTCACAGAGGCTGAGAAATATAATTAATTCTATCATCTAATTCCATAATTCTACTCAACCAAGCCAGTATTGTCTCTTTTGATCCTGAGACCTCATGTTCATTGTGATTCTTAGAGCCATAATTTGTGAGGCAGACAAATATAGTACCATTATCTAGTTTTCTAAGTTAACTAAACCAAAACTACTGCCCTGTTGTCTTCCTCTCCTCCATCTTTTCTTATCCAACGACTTGTAATTCTCAATGAAGGAACCTTCCGGGAAGCAACCTCGTTACTTGCTCAGATTACTTTCACTTCTAGGTGGTGTTATAAATTCTCTGCAATGCAACTTTTACCGAGATAATATGTTAGTAGCCAAAATCATGTATCTATAGCATTGAGGCCTTTTCCTGAAGTCTCGTGCCATGTGCCACTTGTACCTGGCTTTAGGAGCCATGAATTTCAAACTGGTTGCTTGCATGGCAACTGAGTCGTGCATGCTCCTGGATGATGATGTTGTGATACTGACATATCTTTCTCATAGATGCTAAATATATAACTTGACCATTTCAATATACGAATATGTGGAGTACATGTTCCACATATGCAGCAATTTGAATTATGCTACAATGATGATTGTACATACTTGGTTTTTCTTCCACCTCATTATTTTACGATCCATTTGATGACTTACTGTTGCAGCCAAATACACGGATACGTATAACAGGAATCACAGGCTACCAAGACTATCCGGCCGTTACACTCAACTCCTAACATTCCTTGTGAAAGATTGGCTGTTGCCTAGAGCTAGGCATGGCTGCTTTAAAGTCAAGATTGTTTTGGTCATGATTTTTAATGTTGTCGAAATGGTTTTATTGCGATAACAAATATCCATAGAACGATCATATATCTATTCAAATGTTTATTTTTTGCTTCATAAGATCATTTTTCATTTCGACATTATCATACCCGTAGTATGCATGCTGATTTTTATCATGAATTTTATTTAGATGGCACAAATAAGGAAGGTTTGTGTAAGATTAATTCAAGTTTAAGTTGTTTCATTCGTGAACAACTGAGTTATAAATGTTAAAATTTAAATTTCAAATTTATTGGATATCATTTTAGAAGATGATTACATGAACAACTTTGAGTTTGCACGTTAACCCGTTTAACATTATGAACGGCAGCAGGAAAAACCTTTTACCCAAATAAGGACTGGACTCAAATTGTAGAAAGGAAAGATTGATAGAGAAAATAACAATGGCACTGGACAACCTTACTAACATCCATGTAATTCATGGCATAAGGTAAAATTAAAATATCAGCAGCAAAACCACCAATACCAAAGAAATAATAGGGTACTGAAACTATTATTACAGAATATATTATCGGTACAGTTTTTTTTTTTAAACATATTCTAAAGCTAGATTATGAAGTTGTCAACAAGAGTAAATTGGGTATAACACATTTCTCCCAAATGTTTGTAAATAATCCAATTGGGAGATGATTTGTGTTAGCATACATCAAATAGAAAAAACAAAGGAAAAGGAATTCCCTCTGTTTTTCATATTTGTGTCGACACAAAACCCGTGTATCACAAGATGAATGCTAGATCTTCAATATTCCGCGACGCTCTAGTCTTTCTTGGATCCTAAACAGTGTCAATATTTCTATTCTTAATCCCCATTGCAAGGAGGATGCCACATACTCACTACAAACCTTATTCATATATTCTCTTTCTCTTTAGAAGGGTAGGAAGTATGGAGACTGATCCAATAAGGAAAAGCACGGACAAAGTCTTGAAATCATAGAGATCCTTGACAGATCTAAGGTCCCCAAGTGCAAGGCCAGCCTGAAAGAAGAAACAAGGAGTCATAAATCAGAAAAATATAGTTAAGCAAACATCTATGTCACACCATCCAGAAATACCTTCTAAAAAAAAATAAAGATGCCGTAAGCTATCAATTTTTCAAGTCGTGTTCAATTCTTTTGGCAACTCACAAAAGTGGAATTTTAGGTGATATAGGCCCAGTAGGGACAATCTCAAGAAGAGACTTTCCTCGTTGGACTCAGACATCACATCCACACTCCATTAAGCTTAGCATGTACTTGCACCTTTTTAAGCATCAAATTGTTCAGAGAGAGCATAAGTGTACACATTTGAACATAGATGAAGATTAAAAATCAGTTCTCCAAAGCATTGCAGATCTCTTCTTAACGATCCTTCTAGAAATTCCCAAAGATTAGCTATCTGTAGATATGATCCTATCTTTTTCTATCATCATTTACCTTTCACATGACTCCCATAACTTGCGTTCAATTGAATCTCACCACAAACTCTAATCCTTTATTTCTTTCCAATACAAAAAGACCTGATTACAGTCCAACTGAGTCAAAGACAAATAAATATATCACAATGACCTACCCATTCAACCCCTATCTGAAATATCATTACTTTAATTAGGACTAGGCATACATGAAACTTCAATAAAATATGCTACTGTAAGAAACGTATGACAATTCTAATCAATGCTTCATTTAAAAGCATCTACTTCAAACTCACAACAAATCACAAGTCTTCCAATTTATCTTTTTTAACACACCAGTTCACAAACTGTTTGATTGAAACCTCCCTAAATGGTCGAAGGTCAATGACTCCAGGCATTTAGCTCAAGGTACCCTATTTAAAGATTAGCCCACAATGAATTATAGCCTCACATCATATGATATAACAATCTTGTAGGAACTTTTCTCACTCCCAGTTTTGAAGAATCCACATCAATTATTTTAAACTTTCGACAAATCCTCCAACATGGAGTTTGCTAGGGTAATGCAAAAATGCTCAGAACTATATAGTCATTAATCTGAGCTTTACAAAAAGAGTTTACTCGGTTAAGCCTGTCTCTTTCTTAGTGGAAATACTTTGGGACAAAACACATGCCCCCTTCACAAAATTTATTGTTTGATCTCCATCATCAAAAACTGTTTTTAACTAACATGCCGACAACCTGATATCATTTACACCTTTGCATCACGGTGCTTTAAAATTTATTAACATAAAACCATCCAGCTATAACAACAGCACTATATTAGCTGCAGGAATAAATTGGATAAGATACAAGTATCTGCTTCCCTTCAACAAATCAATACAATGTTCGTGAAGATGAAATTTTCCAATAGTAACAGAAAAAGAAAAAAAAATCAAATCATAAGCCAGCCAAGAAAATAATTGTGGCACAGTTGCAGGACACTTACTTTGACAGTTATATAGGAGGCTGGGATTAAGCCAATAAAAGTTGCTAAAAAGAACACATGAAAGGGTATGTCAACTATTGGCGATGCCAAATTGATAAATAGGTTGGGCAAAGTTGGAGTGATTCTCAGAAAGAGCATGTAATTCAGTAACTTGTCCCTTCGTTTCGTAATCTGATTCCACAAAAATGCACATTAATTCAGGAACAAAGAGGATGATAGGACAAAACAAATGAAAGATGCTAAATTAGGAGAAAACAAACAAGATAATTTCCAAAGTTGATAAACAAGGATAAACAAGTACCTCTGCTTGAAAAAATCTTAATTTATCAGGCCACAACCAACCAACCAAGGGCCTGCCAATCAGCTTAGACAGAAAAAAGCAGGAGCAAGCTCCAGCTGTGGCATTAAAGACAACCAAGAAAAGGCCTTTAACACCAAAGAGAGCTCCAGCTAGCAAAGACATGAAAATTGTACCAGGGATCATAAAGGTTTGCATGAAGATATAAGTTGAGCAGTAACCCAAAATGAATTGTGTTGGGTAATCTTTTGCATACGTTGCAATATTTTCTCTGAAAAGGAATAAAAAAGCACATACTTTAGTAAAATGAATTGCAACAAATATATGAACACAGAGAAAGAAGTTGCTAACAGAAAAGTATAAATGCCCAGCAATGAAAGGGTAGTGAATAAATAAGTTAAGAAAGACAAAATGATGGCAATAAATTAAGGATGTAAGCTGGGCAACAATGCATAGTAAATAAACGGATGGAGAACTTAATGAAACTCAATGATTAAATTTCACATAAGAAAACATCAAAGCAGAACTCAGATACAACTAAAACACTCAAATGAAATCTTGATGCTGTTATTATTAAAAAAAAAAATTATAATCTAATTGTGATGCGATCCTCTCACAACATGGTCACTCAGTATATACAATTTCTATATGAGAAATATTTAGTACTTCGCTCATCTACTCCATAGAGCTACTCAACATGTATGCAGTATACTACCTACAATTTGCATTATCGTATGCCCTCACATGATCCACAGCACATAACAAAGTGCAAAGATAAGCACAGCACTAGCAGACAGTAAAATCAGGATTAGCCATAGATTGCTTTTTAAGCCTTCAGTGATTCAGCATTGCCCACACGTTATCGACATTCAAGATATAATAGAAATGATTGAATTCTCATTCACAACTACCTCGATTGTTTTAGCAGCTAGACTCCTCCAATTTAACACAAACAGAGGGCTGCTTCACTTTCATAGGACTCAATATGTGCTAGAATCATAAGCTAAAATAATCCCAACAGAGCTTTCCAGCTCCAAGCCATAAAAAACCACAAGAAATCTAAAATGGGTGTTAATAAAATCTTCAATATTTATCAAATCCAAAAGTATTCAACAAAAACATAAGCTTATCTCTGAACTCCAAGCATCAAGCTTTCACCAAAGGAACAGAAATAAAAAAAAAAAAAAAGCGAACTTTGAGGATAAAAAACAAGAAGGAACCTACTTGAGCAAGCGAAGATCAGAGATGGAGCGTGGGATCTTGAGTTTCCCGTACTCGGTGGCGGGCATGGTAAGGTAGATGCAGAACAAACCGGTCGAAAAGATCAAGAAAACCCCAAAAAAGACAGCGAATTCCCACCTTGAAACAGGAAACTTTTCCGATTTTAACCTCTTCCCTGTCGGGGAATCGACGTCTTCCTTACAACCGTTGTTCAACAGAGCCGCAGCAGCAGTCTCTTCGTCCCTCAACACGTTCCTCGGCGCCGCCATTTTACAACACCGACAAGACAAAAGACAAAGCTGTTGGGAACTTCTTGGGATCCCACAAAACAATAATAATAATAGTAAATCTAAATTTGTAATGAAATATTGTGGACTTAAAGAATCATTGTTATGGCATTTCCGAACAAATGAATTGAATTTTGAATGAAACGGAGAGAAAAGAAAATAGAAATTTGGAAGATACTTTAATGAGATTTGGGAATTGGGTTAGGAGTAGAAGAAAACAAGGGGTTGGTGCTGCCAACGTAAATTCACAACGTGGTCGTTTTACTAATAATTATGTAGTTTATTAATAAAATATTATTTTTTTAATTTTAATAATTATTAATTTAAACTTTAATAATATTAGTTATAAAAAATTTTGATCATTTTGTTTCGGGAAATACTAATATTTTTATTTTTAAAAGTATAAATCAATAAATATTTATATTTAATAAAATTTTTAAAAATTATTATAAATTATAAATATTTGCAAACATAATATCTATTTTAAAACTTCTTTTTATATATTTTTTAGGTGGCTTAATTTTTTTCATTCCTTAGAAGATTCAAAATTTTCGATATATTTTAATTTTTTTAATGTTTTGTATGAAATTTTTAAGAAATTCTTTTACATTCTAAAGTATTAAATGAAAGCAAAGAATAAAACCAAGACTATGTTAGACATTTTAGTTTAATGATTAAATTTAAAATTTGAAAATTTTAAGTATTAAAAAAAATAAATGAGGAATAAAAAATTGAATAGTGAAAGCAAAAAATTTTCATAATATCATTATATTTTATTTTTAGATAATATTACGAGTAACTCTTAAATTATAATAAAATATTTAATATGATATTTAAATTTTAAAAATATTTAATATACTTCTTAAATAATATTGCAATTGCCCTTAAATTAGAATAAAATATTTAATATGATACTAAATTTTATTTTAATTTTTAAAATTTATGTCATATTAAATATTTTACTATAATTTAGAGACTATTCATATCATTAACCTTTTATTTTGCTATAGAACATGATAATTGTAAAAATTGCTTTTTTTTTTTTTAAATTACTTGTCACAGAAATAGAAAATAAAAGAAAATAAGATAAATATATTTATTAACTAGAGGATCAGCCTATCAGCTTTAAATTTTTATGTTACTTATTGTTTAATAACAAAAACTTTGGTTTACTATCTAATCATAAAACTTAAAAACGATGCACATGAAGAATAGAAGCTTCGTTTAGCTTAATACATGAAAATGTATAAGGAAAAGCTCAAAATAAAAATGAACTTTGGAAATAGTAAGCTCCAAATATTTTATGGAAACTTGCTTAATCAATGATCAATGTGAGCTCTTCACTTTTCCTTGTACAATATTCAACATGTATCAATCGAAAAATTTTATCAGCATATTCTTCAACTTAATTTTTAAAATTTTTTAATTTATCTTTGAACTCTTTTTATCTTTATATTTATTTGATTAAAAATAATATTATACGTATAAATTCTTTTAAATTCGTAATCTTTAAACTTCAATTCATCCAAAAATCAATCTGTTTGTTAACCCAAACTTTATCTTCAAGGATGTGTAATCCGTAGTTGGCTAACAAGTGGGAAGTCATATTCCATGTGGGCAACGTGTGCATTATGGAGAGCATGATCAAAACAATGACATCTCAGCTTTAGCTTCATCAATAATCGATCCTTCAGGTGACAAATCCAGTTCCACTTACTTAAGCTTCTTAATGATTCCCAATGCATCTCCCTCAAGTACGATCTTTGCAAACTCATATCATAGGAATATTGCCGCTGGCAACAGCTTCCACCATGAAAGAATCAGTGGCATCAGGGATTTTGACAGAAGCAACCTTAAAACTGCACCTTCCGAGTCTCTAATCAAGACCTACCCCTCCTTTTTTGTTAATGATGTCTAAAGCACCACCAAAGTTGACTTTAAACACACCAATGATGGGAAGTGTCCACTTTACTTAAATACAATTTATTTATAATTATATATACATACACAAACAGGCAGACACAAGACTAATTAACACTTGTAGCTAACTTGAGAATATAGATAAATTTTATGATTGAGAGATTTTCATCAGATATCTTAATATTCAACAATTTTTTGTAAGTCTAGGACATTCACATTCAATCTATGAGAGTAATAATCTGGTTTAACCCAAAAATTTCATAATTTTATTTTATAAAATACATCTCATAAGACTAAATTTAAATTTATACATATATACCCACAATTTTTTAATATAACCGAAATTTTTTAATCATTAGAGAATTTTGACGTTCTCAACAAGTCTAGCACATCTTTCACATAGCCAAAAATTTTAAAAATGGCTACCATTTGGAGAATTTAGCTTTCAATCACTTGTATTCTAGATATAGCTCTTAGAATTTAGTACTTAACTTTCAAACTTTCAATTGATGATTGTTTTGTTACTAATTTTAGAGATTTGCACTAACTTATAAGTTATTTTGATTCGAAATATCATAATTTTATTCATCAAAATATTTGTCGTAAGTATAAATTTTAATCTTTACATATATATTATAATAAATTTTCATAATTTTTTAATATGCTATTTAGAGATACATGAGTACAAAACAAAAGTTGTTTGAGTACCAAAGTAAAAAATTAAAAAAATCACATTTATAAAAAAAAAAAAACTTATAAATTAAATAAAAATGCCAAAACTCGTAAAGTTAAAACGTGAAAAAAAAAGAGATCAACATTATTATATAGATATATGCACTATTGCGCGATATACAATTTTGTGAACATGGCAAATGAAAAAAGCGTGAATTGAAACTTTCTACATACACCCTAAAGCTTGCAGGAAGTCTCCTCTTTTTATCATATCAAGCCCATTCTTTCTCTCCTACATGTACTCTACTTTTAGCAATTCAATTATTATATATTTTGTAAATCTGAAGCATTTTCAAACTTAGTTCCTATTAATTTGAGACAGGAGTTTTAGCTTTGTCAATGAGCATCTTGGATAAATCAATTGTAAAACTTTGGGCTTCCACTATGATCGAGGGAGCAACCAAGCAGATGGCTAACGTGTTCTTGAGCATCTGGTTCATAGTTTTGGGGTATTACTGCTGCAGTTTGATAAGGATAAGATGTTGTATCAGTCAGCGGTGAGGCAAGCAAGTAGTCCAAGTTTTTCCAGTCAATGTATTGGCTACTGTTATTGCTCTTTTCTTCATCACAATCCGCTTTTGTTACAAGGTTCTCCTGGAAACCTTCTTTTGCTGCTAAACTTGGTGAAAGAGTAGTAGGGCTATCCAGTTGTGGAAGTTCAATGACTTGTTGGCTGTCCAAAAAATTGTGGTTATTGGAAACAAGCTCTTGTTCTGAACCATAGGATTCATAAAAACTTGATCCTTGATTCGTATGAAGATGATGAGATGTGCTTCTTATATCTGAAATCGATATTGGAGGCCTAATTTGGCTGTTATCTTTGATATAGTAAGCATGGTTCCATGCTTCAAAGCCTTGCCTGTGATTAGGACTTGGCTTTCTAAATGCTCGGCACACCACCCATCCTTCTTCCTGCAAACTTTCTATATTCAGTTACATATTTCAAAAGGAACAAAATGATTTGAACAGCACTTCTAGTAAGAACTAAACGTACTATCTATCAACCCAACACTGTAACTAATCACTTTAAAATGATTTGTCCTTCCGAAGTTTGAGTCAGTCAAGCTGAGCGTGCTTGCAAATTTGTGCAGCTAATGAGTAACAAGTGATGACTTTTCCATTCTCCAAAAAACAACCCTTTAACATAATTTGACCTTTTCTCCTGGTAATTGTCGAAAGAAAGTGGTGTCTAATACTCTTCTATATAATTACAGCTATTATATATTCTTAGTATTGGATGCCATGTCTTAAGGGTAATTGAACTAACTGAATTAAATTTTGGGTTCAATTAGTAACAGAAATGGCAGTCATGACTATGGGTGCTGAGTAAATATATATAGTACTGCCTGATTAGTGACTAACATGCTTAATAGGATATGAATAATTGTAATGTAACATTTTCAGCAATTTATATACACGTTGAAGAGGTGAATGAACTTGCCTGTGGCGGTCCGTGTTCAAAAGTTTGCAGTCGATACTCGTGCATGATCCAATCTGTCTTCCTACCATTAGGTGCACGACCCTTGTAGAAAACGAGAGTCTTTCTCATCCCTATAATTTTGTTGTTTGAAAGAACAGCTTTGTCCCTCCCTGTTGCTTTCCAAAATCCAGCTGCAGTAGCTCTATTAGTTCGTGTTCCTGTTGGATACTTCCTGTCTTTATGACTGAAGAAATACCACTCGCTTTGTTCATCGTAGCCTAGCTTACATCTAGCTGCAAACACCAGGACAAAACAATTTGTATTAGGAAAATCTGGCTTTGGAAATCAACCAGAATCATGCATATGTTTCCCAGTTAAAGCAGTCATTTTCCCGGTGCCGTTGATCCATAGTTTTTTCCCATTTTTTCTTTGCATCATAATACTATGGTCGAACATTAGTGTCAACTTGTAAATATATAATACCTTTTAATTTAAACGGGACAATATCCCTTTGAACTTTGGCATGGCATGGTGATCTTGATTAGTTGATGACTAAGGGAAAAGTTGGACTAAAAAGAATGAGTGCTTTTTATAATTTTCTTCTTTTGTTCTCTCTTTTCAAAAATTTCAAACTCCAATAGGTTTCTGCCAAGTTAAATTCTAAGTTATTACCCTATTCATAGAATACTGAATTCCAAGATTTAGTGATTAAAGTTTAAATCTTGACAGATTGATTCAAATTGAAAAAAGAAACCAATGAAAATGAAGAAAAATTTCAAGATGCATTATTCAATATTAATACCTTGCATATCCCATGGCTCCATCTTGTATAGATCAATATCGATAATAACATCTAGATCAATTTTGAGGGAGTTAATCTTTCTCCTGAGGTAATATCCTACAAGTTCTTCCTCAGTCGGATGAAATCTAAAGCCTGGTGGCACGCATGACTCCAATTCCATCATGGATCCTATCCTGCAATACAAAACCAAAATAGTTTAAAAAATGATCAGTGAAAGCATAAATTAAGCTTCTTTCCGAGGTTTTATAACAATGTTGTTTTTATTATGAGCTATATTTATATTAACCACCTAATGATGTGAATATTCCCCTCCCAACAAACACAGCCTTGAAGTTTGTTCTTGAAGTGAACCTAAAATGGAAGGCAAGTTTGAAGTAAAGACATGACTCTCCAATGAACTGAAATTCCAAAACTTTACAAAGGATAGTGAAGTAAACGCACATGTTTTGCCTGTATATGTTATTTTCTTAATCTATAGAAAGCTCATTCCAGAACTCGTAAGTTGCAAATAGTGGGTAACGTTATGGGACCCCAAGCTGGTTGGTCCATACATGTTTTTTCCTTCTTCTTTCATCTCAAAAGAGGAAAAAACAAAGAGAGAGAATGTCAGGCTAAGAGTAGTGTTACTTTATAATTTGTTGAGTTGCATGAGGCTAGGCAAAGCATATGGAACAGAAGAGTTGCCGAAAAGCTTGACTTTGCAGGCAGAAGCATGTTGTTGTTATATGTGTTTCTTTGAGTGCAGTGCACTCTGTGGTCCTGGTAGTGGAAAATGTTTTTACACCCACCCGCTATCTCCATATCTAGCTCATTCTAAAACTATTCTACTCATCATTACCTCTCCTATCCATCACTACTCATTTTTCCGCACCATGTTAGGCTAAAATCCATGTTGAAATTACACCCGCAAATTCAACATGGTGGGGTATTAAAGATCGATGTCTAGCTAGCCTACTCAACAAACTAGTAATAGCGCCCTACATGAACTCACTGATTAACAAAACTCTTCCATTTAGATCGCACCACATTGATCTACTGAATGTGATTGAGAGATCACCAAACCAAAGAAACAAATCCAATATAAACGATGACTTTATATGCATGACAACCCTAATTCTACAGTAGAAAATGCACCCAAAATAAAGTAACAGAAACGACCCTCTCCTATGTACTGACAAGATGATAATATTGTGACCTTGGCTTGTTCTTTGATTGAATCTGGCTCCAGATCGAAAGTTGGTGCTGCAAAGGGAGAGAGCTAGAGAAGAAGGTGGTGAATATTTGGATTGTAAAGAGAAATATATATATATATATATAGTAAGAGGGGAAGAGAAGAGGCTATTGATTGCGCGTGGGGTGGCAGATAGAGATTGAATGGTTTTTGTTTGGACGGCGTGACACCAAATTTTCACGCCACCCCCACCCCTCTGTCACCACCGCTATTTTATGTCCTAAGATTTTCCACACTTTGGCAACAAAGACTCATCTTTACATATATGTTTATCATACATTTTCTGATTTCTTACATAAACATAATAAAACCAAAACCATATAAAATTATGATGTTACAATTGGACATTCCCACAATCCAGCTCCTCTTGTCTGTTTGGTGCGCCGCCCTTGCCATTTGGCACCTCTCTTTTTGTGCCAAGTGTTTCCATGTCAGAATTTCAAGCTGTCCTTTTCAAATAGCTAATCATTTGTGTTTTCCCTCTCTCTCTCTCTCTCTCTCTCTTGGCTTCAAATTTGTAGTTTCATCCATGGGGATGAATCCCACTAAAGCCACAGTCCTTTTCATCATCTCCTTCCCTTAGCTTTATCTCATTTATTCTTCATCACAGAAATTTTCGATCTAGCTATTACAACATATTTTTGTATTTTTCTTTTTTTTTTTTACATAAATTAGTTATTTTTTAAGGCATTAATTTATCTCTTAATTCAAACTCCTATTTATAAAATTTTTTGATTGAAAATAAATTTGGTAATTTATATATTTATATCATAAAAAATAAAATTCATATATTTATATACATATTATAATTCGACATAAAAATATATTTTTAATTTTATTAAATCAATATATTATATTGACGTTTTTAAATTTTATATATTAATTAAAAATTTTAAATAAAAAAATTGACATTTCATTTTCCAGACTATATTAAACAAGAGTCGAGAATCCGACCTAGAATCTTAGGGTGTTCTAGATGTTGTTGCTGTCAAACTTTTCTGAACAAGGAATTATGTACTTGCAAGAAATCAAAACAATATTATATATTTATTGGTCCAATGGATGAAATTTACCCGTTGACATCAACTTATCGTTTTGACTTAGGACCTTATCTCTCATTTTCAAACAAGTAAAGATGTCCCCTTTCTGTTTACCCTTCCACTTACCAAACAAAATGGTGTGGTTATTCTCATCCTTAGGTCATCACAAATTTCATGCATTGTCCATTCCCTATCACTATCTAATTTTCTGTATATGTTTGTTCTTATTCAAACCTTCTTTAATGGCCGGTGCATTATATGCAACATTAAATGCTCCAAAAGCCTAATCCCAATCATTTCCATCTATGGCTCTTTGTGCTTACTTTTACGAAAAAGATTTACATAAAATCTTATAGATAAAATCCATAAAATTTTTTATTAAAAATAAATAAATTAAAATTAAAATTAAAATGGATAGATTAAAAAATCCCATCATATAAATTAAATATGTAAAATTTAAAAAAAATTAATAAATTTTAATATATTTAATAAATAAATTTTTTTAATAAAAATATTTACAAAATTTTTATTATTGAATAAATGTCGATTAAATTTGAATTATAAATAATATTTTTAATAATTTTTTTTTCATATTATTAATTTTCACATTAAATTTTATCAATATATCAATTTAGATCTTTTATTAAAATTTTTATTTATTCAATTCTAATAAAAAAATTTATAAATTTTACCTATAAAACTTCATATAAATTTTATCTCACTTTTACCATTATCAATCCCACTCTCTAATCTAATCATTTCAGTCTCATTTCCATAGTCAATTTATATGATATAACAAAATTTAATCCATTTTGAGTTTTCAAAAAAAAAAAAAAACCCTAAACAGTACTTAATTAAAGCTTGAATCTTGAATTTTGATTTTATTAAAAAATAACTGTTTGATTGTTAAAACGCCTTAAAATTTGATATAGAAGGTTTTTTTTTTCTCCTTTATGAACCGTTAAAAAGGTGATTTTCTTTAATTTTTTGGTATAATATTAAACTTTCTAGATTTGTTAACAAGAGCTTTAATTAAGGTAATTATTCCGTTCAAAAAAGTACTTATTGAGATGCTATTAAATTAGAGCAGAGATCCACTAAGTATTTACACCAATATTTGTATATAAAATACAATAATTTCCATACAATGCGATGGATTTCAATGCACTACTTAATATAGCAGCTTTAATAAATGCTCTTAATATACTCTTTTAGAAATTTCTTTTATATTTGAGACTATTAAAATTTGAATTATAAGTAAGGATGTTAACGAATAAGGAATGAAAAATATAGAGTATTCCCTACTCTCATCTTCAGATTTTTATTATACTCATCCACGTACTCATATCAAATAGGTATTTTAAATTTATTTTTATTTTCACATATATTTAATAGATATATGTAATTCTCATCCCCGTAATTTTTAAAAAAATAAAATAAAAATATTTTTAACTTATTTTATTTTTATCTTGTATATTAAAGTAATTTTTTATAAATATATATTAATATATATTTTTCAATAAAAATATATTAATTCTAATTAATCTAAAATAATAATTTATATTATTTAATAATAAATTTATTTATTAAATATATATAAATATATATGTAGGGTGAACAAAAATCGGTTTGAACCGACTAGACCGATCGAAACCGAGCAAATTCGATTGAATCGGTTCGGTTTATTTGGTTTTAGTTATAATCGATTTTTTAAATCGATTAAATTGGTTAATTCGGTCGATTTTTTATTTTTAAAATTGATAACCGTACTAACCGAATTAATCAATTTTTTAATAATTAAAAATAAAAAAAATTGAGATAAATATATTTATTTATTTTTTTTGTAAAATATTGTTAAAATTATTAAATTCTTTAGTAATTTAGTTTGAATGATACTAGAGTTTGAATTTTATTGAATTAAATTTTATTGAATTGAATTTGTGGTTAAATAATTATTAATAATAGGAAGAAAAATAATAAAAAAATCGGTTATTTAACCGAACCAAACCGATCGAACCGAACCGATTTTAGTTGGTTCGGTTATAGTCGGTTATTTAATAATATTCGATTGGTTCGATTATTTGTTAAATGAAAGTCAGTTAAATTGGTTATTGATTTTTTCAAACTAAACCGATCGAACCGACCATTTACTCACCCCTATATATATGTAAGGTACGAGTATGAGGTGAGTGCTATATTATCAATTTTCATTCACGTACCTAATAAAAATTTAATCATATTCATATCCACCTTCATTCTCATACATATCTCTATACCTACAATATGATATCTATTTTTATTTTCATTTGAGTAAAAAGTAAGATTTTTCATTGGATATAGGTAAGATTGATATTTATAATTCAGATCAATAAAATTAAATATCTAACATTTTACAAACATATCATACAATTGTTAGCTATTTTAGAAATATCTTAATATCTATATGATTTATCAAAAAAATATTTTTTAATAATTGAAGCTATCAAAAATTAATTCTTGAAATGAAAAATCTAACACTTTATTAATTTGATATTGTTTCTAAACTAATGTAAGGGATGGATGTGTTAATTTCCGAATTTTACATACCCTTAAAAGTTAAAAAGGGATAGCTTTAGATGGTTTTTTTTTTTTTTTGCTAAGCAACAATTCTCTAAGATGGGACCCATGTCATCAACCAGCAGAATCATGGTCCTAATCTAACAAAATCATCAAAATCTGATGCGATCTACCGACTTGCCCTTTTGATGTTTTTTAAGAATTGTTTGGTAATGGTTTTCAAATTGTGATGGACTACTGATCAAACATTCTATATATAAATGGTACTCAGATAATGACCATTTTTATCTCATAGGTTACATTTTTCTTTCAATGTTGATTACCTATTAATTAATTTTGGCTTTAATTACCCATCATTTCAATTGAAAAAAATTTTCAATCAAATTAATTATACATATAACTTGCTTTAAAAGTACATGTGACAATACTTGTATTTATATAATATTTTACACAAAAAAATGTGTTACAATTTATATTAATATAAAAAATATAAATTTTATTTTTTATTTTTCATTAATTCATATATGATTTTTGTTAAAATTTTAAATTATGTGACACTCATTTTTTTTTTATATTATTTTTATACTGTGTTATCGTGTGATATCTTAAATCTGTATCTATTTAAGAGAAACAAAATAAAATCTTAAATAGAATGAAAAAGCATGGCTTGCCTCACTTTTGATTTGGATTGGGCAATAGTTAAGCTAATAAAAGCAAGTGATTATTGGTGGCGTGGTGAAAGAGTTAGCATATGATCTTGTAATAGATTCTGTTACTCATACACTACCTGAAGCTTGAAAGCCTCTTTCTCTGACTTGGACGTGCTACCTATAATCCTTTTGTACAGTCCTTTGTGAAAAATATGTAAGTAAAACCAAAAAAAAAAAAATGAATGATTAGATGAAGCCTCCATTATCATAGTTGTGTGAGTTCATTAATTCCCATGAATTATCAAAGTTTTGATTTGTCATTCTCAACTGTTCTTCAAAATTATCAATGATTTTTTTCGGATAATTAATATGATTGAAAATTTCCCCAAACAAAATCCGTTCCTAATTCTCTTACTCAAACGATATCTTAAGAGCACACTTCTCACATTGTTACATTGAATTAATTTTGCTTCATGCATGCATATGAGTGATGATCATCATAGTGTGAACAAGCTGCTTATCCAAAAGCTTTGAAATGAAATTAGAACGGCACAATATTCTTTTTCTTCATAATGGAAATCATGGTGACCCTATACCCTAATTTCATCAGATGTTATTGCTTCATATCAATTTCATCTGATATTATTGCTTCATACCCTAATAATGGAAATCAAGGATCTTCTTGAGAGACATAATGATTCATTGATCAATTCTTTGTTGATTATTAATTGTTGGCTGCCTCCCTCTTCAACTCGTTTGCACTGTTCACACAGTACAGCAACTTGGCTAATAAATTCAAGCACTACAAATTGAGGCCACATGCAAGACAATAAGCCCTGCCCCCCTGCCCTATCAAGTTCTAGGTTTGTTGATTGAATTATAACCATCTGGACTTGGTGTTTTAGATCATTAATTTATAACTAATAATGTTCTTTAGTCAGCGACTGGGTATATATGCAAACAGAACATTTGATTTTGACCCCAAATTTCTTCTTGATTAGACTTTTTTTAATGAATAGCTGCGTCCATTAGCATCGCTATTTGCTTGTAATCAAGTACTGGGATATGAATATATAGTTTAACAGGAAGAAATCGGATCAAAATTTCTCTATTTTCTCAATCATAATTAAATTTGACAGAAAACGTATGATATAACATGATACAGATACAATACAATAATTTTTAAAAAATAAAAATGCAAATATGATTGGACATGACAATAAAAATATTTTTATATTTATTATAATCATCATTTAAGAATATATGGTAGATATTGAGTTGATTTTTAAAAAATAATTACCTTAGTGAAAAAAAAATTGATAATAGACATAATAATAAAAGAATATAAAATTTCATTACTTGCACAAGAATTGTCTTTTTCTTTTTTTTCTTCTTCTATTATATCTATCAAATTCAAAATGTATTTTGATGTATCAAAAGCATTAAAGTATAGGATATAGATACAACATGGACATACAAGAGATTCAGACGTGTCCGAACTTCACAGTAAAGAATTTAGCTTAAACTTTATTAATAATTATACTAAATGTATCGTAAAGTTTGATTATCATTAATTAATTCATTTTTAAAAAATGAATGTGTATATATATGCACAAACACATAAGTACATACATATATATATATATATGTAATGTATTATTAAGAACTGATATATATTCCAATTCTCAAAACCTGAAATTGGTCACATGGTGATTAACTATACCAAAGGAAAGGGTGAAATTTGATTGAATAACCAAGTTAATTGAGCTACATATATAGCTTTAAGCTAGATAAACCTCATCAAACAAGTCAAAATGTCTTTTTCATGGCTTTCAGGCCGGTTATGGGGTTGCTTAATTTGATGATGGCCAGACTGTACCATTAAGGTTAAAAGAGTGCCCTCTACAGCACTCAGTTAATCCGATCGACCATATTCACCAATGATGCTCCATTTCCTAATTCTTAAGACAAATCATTTTCATTCTTCTAAGCTATTGTCTTTTCTTTTCTTTCTGGGAAATTAGAATATCTTGCTGCAAAATATCCCTTTTTTTGGATAATTACAGCATAAGTTCTTTTGCAGCTTCGAGTGTGAACATTTAAGATTCATGAATAAACATTAAAGATGTGAACACTGTTGTGATATAAATTGTTTTGTCCCAATACATTGGAGAATTTTCGATTACCACTTGATTGGACTTTCATGCCTTAAATTAATGTGAAAAACACCTTACCTTATCCAAAAGAATTCCCTAACCAAGAAAAAGAAACTACAAGTAATTCTCCCTTTAAGACTGCTAGATTTTAAAGTTTAAAAATTAGTTTTTTTTTTTCTTTTACAAAGAAATTGCAATCTAAGAATAGAGAAAAGAATTATCGGTAGACTTGATGATTTATATACTTATATCATGTAAAATATTAAAATTCATATTTTTAGGTTGTATTTTACACAAAAATTATGTATGATAATTTCTGTCAATATAAAAATATGAAATTTATTTTTTTGGTTTTATTAAATCTATATATAATTATTGTTAAAATTTTAAATTATATTATCTTCGTATCATTTATTTATATTATATTCGTATCGTGTCACCTTATCATATTTTAAATTATTAGGTCTAATTGTAGGTGTTAAAATCTAATTCCAAACCTGTTTGATGCAACCTTTTGAAGATGATTGCATAAATCAATGGAACTAATCTCTCCAAATTACTAACTTCTTAAGAAAATTGGTTATCAAAATATTTCATAGTATTCTTCATGTTTGAATCCAAAAAAATCATGTCTTGAGCATATTCAAAGATTTTTCTAACAAAAAAACAGAAGCAATTGAAGAAAGAACTTTGGGTTATGAAATGATTGAGAATGGTACAGCCTAGATGTACAAGAACAAGGCTCAAATCTATCTTAAAAGGGAGGGAGGCTGTGGGGCTTGCTTTAGCAAAACAAGAAATAGTGTAAACCAAGCTAGCTAGGGAGGGCATTACTGGGGCGGTTTGTGGGACTGCCAGAGGCTGCTGCACGTTTGAGTTTTGTGTCCCACATTCATTAATATCATGTGCTTTCAGCACACAACATTTTCAAAGCTTTATAATTTTTTCCACATACCATTGTTTCTTCAACAAAACGAACCCCTTCTAGCAGAAGCAGAAGAAGAGAATGAAGGGTTAACTAAAGCTTGAAAATGACTTAAACAATCCAAAAAGCATCTAGAGAAAGAGCTTTATTAATTAGGCTTTAAAATAATGACTTGTGCCCAACTTGTTTGCTACCCATTAACGTATACTAATTCCCTATTAATATTCAAACCTTAAATCTATTGACAGATCCCACCTCTTAAGGATGATGCAAAAGTAACTAAATTAAACTCGATTTTAATTTCATATATTCTTTCAGCAATTAATAATTGCTTAGTTATATAGGTAGAAAATGATATATTTTAATATTTAATCATTACAGCTTCCACTAATTATTAAAAATTATAAAATTTCAAACCAAAATTTCTAGGAACCAATTATTAAATATTAATTTATATGCACATTCTATATATATATATATATACATGTGAAGCTATTAAGAAAATAAACAAATTAATTGCATTTAAACTTAGAATTAAATATTCAAGCACAATTAGATGTGAGTGGTAAAATATTATTTTACCTACCAATAAATTTCAATATTACAAGTTATTGTCTTGACAACTTTTAAACACCAAGTTTCAATATTCCATGTTAAGATGCTAGAACACTGAATCACACATTTTTGTCTTTCAACAAGGGTGGAGTAGGGGGGGGGGGGGGGATTCATGGCCTAAAGGAAGTTCCTCTGAAAGGTTCCGGATGAAAACCTGGAAGTCAAACCCTGAGCCATGTTATCTGTATCAAGCTTTACACTCTGCCTTCCAGCGACCAGGTCCTTCTCCCGATCCCATGGCTTCCATGGATGTTTCCCCTCCCATTCTTTTTTCTCTGCCTGTTGCTTGGCTTTCTTCTTTGGACGCATTGCTGCCTCTTCTTGATGCTTTTGTACCAATGATTTGGATCGTTTTTCTTTATTATATTTATCCACTAAATCTGCATCTGAAGTACTGCTCTTCTTTTCCTCTTCATTAGAAGCAAGAGCAGCAGCCTCGTTGTAGGCTTCCAAATAACTGATAACCAATCACAATCATATATAAATAAACACATCAACAGTACAATGCAACAGTTTGCAATTCAAGTATTCAAAGGCATTGAATCAGAGATTCTCACTGCATCTTTGCTTTTTGGGCTCTCTCTGAAGGAGTGTCCGTCCATATGCTAGTATCACCACGCCCTTCTTTAGAGCTCTTGCTAAATCTCGTTGATTGCATTGTCACACCAGGCTGAAAAGAATTGAAGGTGGGAGATTACAACTACAGAAATTTCTGTTTAAATTATGCAGATATAATTTCCTTAATGTTTAACAATTCAAATCAGTCTCTCATTTTCCCCAAAACTCGATTGTACTCTTCAGGTGAATCTGCAGGCCAGGTCTTACAGGCACCAGATGCCTACTAGATAAAGCAGCCTATTTGTCTGCCTGTGTAATGGAGACAACAGAGTTATGGACTTCAATCCAATGTTTCCCATCTTAAGAGCATAAAGCAATGGCAAAGACAATATCAAGCATGTGAAGAAGCTCCCTTTACAAGAAGCGCTTCACAGGAAGTAATGTAATTTCCAAAATTTTTCTACCCCAGCAATAGATTTCATTTCTATTCTGCTATGGCCCAAAAGAATTTTACACAATCAAAGTAAAGCTAAATTATTACTAAATTTCCAACACCAACTCAGCTTTAACAACTTTTCTCAATCTCAACTAGTGATGCACTTAATCTTTGAGCTTTTTCAAGGAGGATGATCCTTCTGAGGCAGAAAGGCTAGCTAGCTATTTGTGAAAATTAATGAGTTCCTATTAGAATCAAAATATAATTCGGTAATGCATTATTTTGCCAATAATAATTAGGGATAACAATAAGAAAATCAAAATTCTCTAAGTTGCAATATAAAGTGGGATATGCAGGATTGTAGGAATTTTGCTCCTGAGGGATAATGTAAACTGAGTAGAATGTTTGTGCAACTAACTACAAGGCAAAAGTAGAGAACTGCAGATTGAAAGGTCTTACTTTCCTCTCGGGAGGTAGTGTTGTCATCCAGTCATCCCTTTTTGGTGGAGCTTTAACTTCCACTTCAGCCAGGAGCTCATCATCACCTTCCATTGATATACCTGCAAAGATAACAGTTTCTTGGTTCTAGATCAACATCATTAAATTAAACAACTCAGCCATCGCAGAGCAAATACATAAATAATTGGATTGTTTATTTTCCTGAGGCGTTGTAGTATAGGACTTCTAACCTTTTCAAAAGCTAGGGCTGTAAAAAAGTTGACCTGAGTCGAGCACTGAGACATTCAAGCTTGATTTTATAGAGTTCAAAGTAAAATCAAGCTGATCACAAGCTTAACATTGAATTCAAATTAATTGTCATGCTTTACTTAATTTGCTAACAAACTTAGTCTCATTCATGAGCTCCATCATATATCAGTTGAATAGGTCCACATTAATTTCCAACTGAAATATCCATGTTAATATATCAAAAACGTAATTCTGTAACTTCATCATTGTTGATAGTTCATTTATGAATTTATTAACTCTGCCATTATCCCATCTTTAAAACACGAACGTGATAATTTTAAAAGCTTCTAGCATTAACATGAAAATAAATACAAACACAAACACAGCAACCTGAGAAAGAAAATGTTAAGGTCAGTTCATTTAAGAGGTTAACAAACTCAAAAAGTATCCTATGGATTGCAACTAAAGTTATTTGTGGGAGACAAACAGAAGTGCATGCACACACACATACACACACACACACACACACACACAGAGACATTCGCACAGATGTTATATGTCTATAACCATGCAAAATATCTAACCTTGCAATCTTCTCCATTGTGCAGCTTCACGCATTGCACGCAACTCAGCCTGTTGGGGAAAAGAGGTTCATATAACAAGTTGATCCTAATTATGTTTACCAAATTAATGCCGGTATAAAGAATTTGAAAATACTAAAAACCTTGAATTCCTCCTGCTCCTCCTTCAGTTTTATTTTTTCATCCAATGCTTTTCGCTACAAAACAAGTGGAGAGGTTTGATATTAGAATACAGGATTCGTGAGGTTAAATTAAAAAAATAAAAATATAAAAACAGGACAATAAACAATAACCATAGATTCAAAATGCAACAATAATTAATGTGGGAAAATACTTATTTACCGCTGGTTGTAATCTTGTAATCTATATATTTATATTTGTATCTCTAGAATTAAGTATTTATATCCCTAGAATTAAGGACAAAAAATTAGGATAAACAATCCCTCAATTATAAGATTAGTTTTTCAGGAAGATTTAGTTTCCTAGTTTAACCCCTAGTTAGTTGTATATAAACCTAAGGTTCTTGTATAATTATATATGAGCAGTTTTTCAATATACATTCAGTTTCCACACTGATTTATTTATTAGTTTTTCCACATGGTATCAGAGCTTTAGGTTTTTCTTGGGAAGCAAAATTTCCAGCCTTCATTGCCGAACCCTTTCAAAGAAAGATATCACTACCACCCAATTTGAAAAAATGTCAATTGGAAAAATCACTGGAGTACTACAGATGTCTCGAAAACAAGGAGAGTTCGACAGGGAAGAGATTGAAAAGCTAAGAAACTTATTGAAAATCCTTGAAAAGCCTACCGTGGTATGTTCCTTGGGTAAGGTCTGTAGTTTAGGTAAAACTTCTGGTTCTTATGGATTAAATATCTCGGTTAAGCCTATTACGAGTTCTTGGGTCATTGACTCTGAAGCCACAGACCATATGACACATTCCTCACAGAAGTTTAGTACATATACCCTGTGTCCTAGTAATAAGAAAATTGTTGTTGCAGATGGTTCACTTACTACAGCGGCAGGATTAGGAGATGTTCAAGTTAATCCCTCGTTTGTTCTCAAAAATATTCTTCATGTTCCTGGATTGTCTACTAATCTAATATCTATACAAAAACTTACCAGAGATATGAACTGCAAAGCGACTTTTTATCCCGCTTATTGTGAATTTCAAGACCAGCGCTCGGGGAAAATGATTGGACTTGCTAAGGAGAAGGATGGACTATACTATCTTGAGACATCAAATAACACAAGTAATATCAAGAATAGTTTACCTTTGCCATTTCTTTCTGAAAAATATTCCAATAAAAACAAAATCTGGCTTTATCATTTTCGTCTTAGACATCCTTTTTTTGGAACCTTGAGAAACATGTTTCCTTCTTTGTTCAAAGGATTAAATGTCGAAGATTTTCATTATGATGTTTGCGAACTTGCAAAGTATAGACGTGTGTCTTTTCCAATTAGTAACAAAAGAAGTTCTATTCCCTTTTACTTGATTCATAGCGACATTTGGGGTCCTTCTACAATTCCTAATATTTCTGGTGCAAGATGGTTTGTTTCATTCATAGATGATTGTACCAGGGTCTCTTGGATTTTTTTACTTAAATCCAAATCAGATGTGAATAGTGTGTTTTTAAGCTTCCAAAACATGATCCAAAATCAATTTGGAGTGAGAATCAAGAGATTTAGGTCTGATAATGCAAGAGACTACTTCAACCAAAGTCTATCCACCTATTTCCAAAACGAGGGGATTATCCATGAGTCATATTGTGTTAATACTCCACAGCAGAATGGAGTGACAGAGAGAAAAAACAGTCATTTACTAGCCACAACCCGAGCCTTTCCTTTTCAAGCAAATGTACCTAAATCTTATTGGAGGGAAACTATTCTCACTGCCACACACATTATAAATAGGTTATCTTCAAGGGTTTTGGGATTTAAAACTCCTATGGAACTACTCTCACAATTTTATCCCAACCTTAATACCACAAACAATCTCACACCTAGGATATTTGATTGTACATCATTTGTTCATGTTCACAGTCATAACAGAGGAAAGTTGGATCCAAGAGCAATTAAGTGTGTTTTTGTGGGGTATTCCTCAACTAAAAAAGGATATAAGTGTTATCATCCTCCTACCAAAAAATTCTATGTGTTTGCAGATGTCACTTTTGAAGAAAGTAAACCATTTTTTACTCAACCTTATCTTTAGGGGGAGACTTCATTCATGGAAGATAAAGATAAAGACTTCTTTTTGCTTGATTTGTCCCCTTCTTCAACATTTACACCCATTGATTCTTCTAAGTCGAAACCTGTTTCTGTTGAGCCTAAGTCAAACATTGAATTTGAGTCTGAACTCATTCCAAACACAGAAGATGTGACAAAGGATAATATTGTTCTTGATTCTATGAAGGAATTACAGGTGTACTCAAGAAGGAAAGTTCCAGATCCTGAACCAGTGCCAGTGCAAAAACCTGATCCTAACTCTGGAAATGAGGTAACTACAGTTTTTGACTCTGTTTCTCAAAATGAGCATGAATCTCCTAAAAGTATAACTAGTGATTATGAGCTGCCTATTGCTATTAGGAAAGGAACCAGAGAATGTACTAAGCATCCACTATACCCAATCTCTAATTTTGTGTCATTTGAAAAATTCTCACCATCCTACAAAAATTTTCTTGTGAGCCTAAACACTTTATGTTCCAACTACATTATCCGAGGTATTATCCAGTGAGAAATGGAGGCAAGCCATGAAAATAGAAATTGAGGCTTTAGAAAAAAATCAGACATGGGAACTGGTAGAGTTGCCTAAAGGAAAAAATCCAATGGGGTGTAAATGGGTTTTCACTGTAAAATACAAGGCAGATGGTACTGTTGAAAGGTATAAAGCCAGGTTAGTGGCTAAGGGCTACACTCAAACCTATGGAGTGGATTATCAGGAAACCTTTGCTCCAGTTGCCAAGATGAATACAATTAGGATTTTGTTATCATTGGCTGCAAATTACAATTGGCAACTTCAACAATTTGATGTAAAGAATGCTTTTCTACATGGCAATTTGGAAGAAGAAATATATATGAAGGTTCCACTGGGATTTGGAAGTCATTTAAAAGTAAACAAAGTATACAGGCTGAAAAAGGCTTTATATGGCCTTAAACAATTTCCTTGGGCTTGGTTCGGGAGATTTGCCAAAGTGATGCTAGCAATGGGATATAAACAGAGTCAAGGAGATCACACATTGTTTATCAAGCACTTTGATTCAAGGAGAGTCACAGTTCTATTAGTGTATGTTGATGATATAATTGTAACTGGAGATGATGAAAAAGAGAGAGAATCTCTTAAACAGTGTTTGCCTAGAGAATTTGAGATAAAAGAGCTAGGGAGATTGAAGTACTTCCTAGGAATTGAAGTAGCTCACTCACGGCATGGTATCTTCATCTCATAACAAAAATATGTGATAGATCTTCTGAAGGAAACTGGGAAGCTCGCATGTAAACCTGCAAATTCCCCTATAAATTCTAATCATAAAATTGAAGAAGCTAATGAAGATGTTGCTGTAAATAGAGAGATGTACCAAAGATTAGTTGGAAGACTCATTTATCTCTCACATACTAGACCTGATATAGCATATGCTGTGAGTGTGGTAAGTCAATTTATGCATAGTCCTAAAGAAGTGCACTTACATGCTGTCTACCGTATATTGCACTATTTGACGGCCAATCTTGGGAGAGGTATCTTATTCAAAAAAATTCGGGACTAGTTCTAAAAGCCTATACAGATGCTGATTATGCAGGTTCAATAACTGATAGAAGATCCACCTCAGGCTACTACACTTTCTTAGGTGGTAATCTTGTGACTTGGAGGAGTAAAAAACAGAATGTGGTGGCAAGATCAAGTGCTGAAGCAAAGTTCAAAGCAATGGCTCAAGGAATTTGTGAACTACTATGGTTAAAGATTATCCTAGAAGACTTGAAGATCAAGTGGAATGGACCAATGAGACTCTACTATGATAACAAGTCTATAATAAGCATTGCACACAATCCTGTGCAACATGACAAAACAAAACAGATTGAAGTAGACTGGCATTTCATAAAGGAAAAACTAGACAGTGGGTTGATTTGTACACCTTATGTATCAACCAAGGGTCAACTTGCAGATGTGTTGACTAAAGGTCTCAGCAGTGCAACATTTCAAGAAATTATTTCCAAGCTGGGAATGGAAAACACTTATTCACCAGCTTGAGGGGGAGTGTGGGAAAATACTTATTTACAGCTGATTGTAATCTTGTAATCTGTATATTTATATTTGTATCTCTAGAATTAAGTATTTGTATCCCTAGAATTAAGGACAAAAAATTAGGATAGACAATCCCTCAATTATAGGATTAGTTTTTTAGGAAGATTTAGTTTCCTCGTTTAACCCCTAGTTAGTTGTATATAAACCTAAGGTTCTTGTATAATTATATATGAACAGTTTTTCAATATACATTCAGTTTTCACACTGATTTATTTCTTAGTTTTTCCACAATTACCTCACAATGATGGCACTTGAAATCACTGATGAAAGAAAAGTAAATATGCATGATTACCAAAATAAAATAAAATAAAACAGGACTATTAATTTTTTGCAATATTATTAACAACACTTCTTGTTAGAACGCCACTGCAGGAAATCATGTATCTTCAAACTATGGTGAGGAAGAGAAAACATCCCACTGTGCTCTACAATGAAGTTGTTCAACCCATTCTGATAGTAAATTTGACCAAATATGCCACCTTCCTACTTCCATTCCCTTCCCCATCTTTACCCAAAAATCTGGCTTATATCAACCTATGTTCCTTGGACTCAGATACAAGAGTCAGGTAAAGATATGGATATAAGGACCTCATTCATCAAACTCATTCAAAAATTAGACATCTTAGGTATTGACCATGACAGTATTCATAATAGATAAATCAAACCCTCACCTTATCCGGATCTTGCAACTCCTTAAAAGCTTTATTGAGTATAATAAATGCTTGGTGCGCCTGGGGATGAGGACACTTGTCTGGATGCACCAAAAGAGACAGTTTCCAGTACCTAAGGAAACATAATGCAGCTTATGAGCAACACAGTTCATCACAAGTTCACAATCATATCAAGATAAATAAAAGAATCTAGGTAATAAATTTTATTTTGTCAACATATAAAACACCTCAAAAATGAGTAAAGAATATGAAAAGTAAATAATTTCTAGCCTCTTTATATTAGGTAAGATAATCTAAGACATGCTTTTTGGCGCAGTAGGCATCCAATCAGCAGCCTCAAGGGAAATTTCTTCCATTACCACCAACTTTCCAAGTTAGAAGCAATAGGCATAAGTGATCCAAAGTCCAAAATAAAACAGTTTTCCATAGAAAATTTGTTTCAAGAACACTATGAGTAAAGGATAACCCATAGCCTTCTAAAAACTCCCTAGGATAACAAACTCATGACAGTTTTATCAAGGGTTCAACTTTTAAAGTTTTTGGCATCTCTCCTTACTAGTATCTCCTCCTTGCACTTCAATGGTGACCAAGGAGTTGATTTGTGTATGAATTGAGTACAAATTGGAAGCTAAGTAAAGCTATGCTATGTAGACTTTTCATTTTATCCCCTATGTTTGTTGGACGCCTAGAATTTTTATGGGTATGACACTGAGTTTCGGCTCATATTCAGCTCCACATTGAATCTTGAGTTCATATGGCATTGCAACCAGTGAATTGCCACTAGTTATAGTGTTATAATGGATTTTAAATTTTGACATACAGACTGGTTAACTACCTTATCCCCAGTTCCAAAAAATTGCTAGCTGTGACCCTTGGATACCTTCTCTAAAAGTAAGACCACCTTATTTCACAACCTAGGCATCTCAAGAAGCAGTAGCCCTGGAACCCCAAATGAATATTGCTTTTTCCTGGCAAACAGAATGCTAATAAGTCTCATTTTGGTTTGGTTCCTCTTTTGTTTTTAATATATTCAATCTATTCAAGGAAAGTCAAGGTTCCATCCTGATATAGAAATCCCTGAATTCTTTTGTACTGTTTTACTGCCTGGCTTTCATCCACCCACATGAAACCAACTATTCATATTAAATATTTAAAATGAGGCTGTTGGACTAACCACATGGTTGAATACATGTTAAGTGACAAACATTCAGCTTGGGCATAAATCTTAAAGGCATTATATCAAGAGGTGGCAAGTAGGATTCAAGTCAGGTCATTACAGGTTCAGTTCAGGTTGTTTTAGGTTCAGATCATTTTCAGGTTAAACATGGATGGGTTCAAGTTTGGGTTAGAAAAAATTGACAATTAGGTTTTGCATTTTTCGCACTGAGCTTGAGTATACAGGTTTTAACAGGGTTGGTCTTGGGTTTGAATTGATTCGTGCATGGATTTTTTTGGGTCTAGATAATTTCAGATTTGGGTAATTTTGAGTTCAGTTCTTTGACATTTTGATCAATTAGGGTTTGGGTTAGGGTTTTTACAAATGCGTTTTGGGTTTGGGTTCATTTTCCCACCTATAATTATAACAAACTATCATGTACATGTTCATTTAACTGATTTATCCCTTAGATTATTTAAACTAGGGTGGTGATACAAAATAAAACCATTACTGAGGGAAAAGAAAGAGTAGGTATTTAGTAGAAGTGCTAAACAATGACAACCCATGAAAAAAATTATGGAACTAATTTTATATTCCTCATCGCATATAAAAAAACAAGAAATGCAAATTCTCTTTGATAAAAATAAAGAAGAAATAAACTCGTAATCAAAAACCTTACTTTTTCTTTATATTATCAGCAGACATATTTCGGTTTGCTCCTATAACATCATATGGACAATCAGGTTCAACTCCCATAATTCTAGTGACCTGCTCAGTAGAAAAAAAAAAGAGCTATTGAGTAATCATATATAAGTAATTGTTTATACATACAACTGTAATGCATCAAGCCAAAGAATTGCTTATCATACAAGTCCATGGGATACTGAATACCTAGGGATTTTAGGGGAACTTCAACTTCAACCCAACCTTAAACTTACACAATTTCATTGACCTCCTCAAAATTCTCTAGCTCTGTTAATGAAGAATACATTACCAAGTAGAACAGAACCACAAGATGTTGAGTGAATAATTAGGCAAATCCAAGAGAATAACAAGAAGAAGAAACTATGATTACAACACAATACAATGGAATGCAGTATTTTCTTCCCGGTTTTCTAATGATTTCAAAAAAGAACAAGGCCCTACTGAAAGAAGATACATGATAACAAACACTAGAAACATGGCTAAAATGAGATACAATCAACAGTTGTATGATATAGGATACTTGTTGAGATTAGGAAGAAAATACTTGACTAATTACAGCTGGCAGGCCACGAGTTAAGTAAGGCAAAGAGCACAAACATAATGAAGATGATTTTCTTAAGCCCCTCCCCCCAAACCCAATGAAAGGGAAACAATATGAACCAAAATTTTAAGTTAATTTCATTTTAGTCAATGATCTTCTTTAATACTATAACATGTTACTTATTTTCTTTACAATGACAATGGCAGCTATAATGAATCAGAAGCTACGTAATTAAACAGACACCAAGCAACCATTCACCTCTTTTTTCCCAACAATGCATAAGAAATTGACAAAATGCCATTCAAGAACTTAGGACCATTGTCAGTATACCCTAGACAATGAGCACAAGCAAAGCTAACATTGCAAAATTAGGATGGGAGAAGAACCACAAGGCAATAAATCTGTAACAGATTCCCAAAAGACCACACGAGAGGAAAATTCCACTTTCCAAGTGAAGGGCTCAAGGTTGCAATTGATATATCCCTACCAATAAAAAATATAGCTAAATCTGAATGAGATACGTAGGGGGCAAATTTTGGAACCTCTTCAAAACGTTCTGCTTCATTTGCTGATTCAGCCTCAGCAACCAAAGCAGGAGGCGGAGGTCCAATAAATTGTTCATTATCTTCCTCAAACTCAGCTTCTCTGGATTAATTTGTGAAAAGAAAGAGCGCCAAAGAAAAGCCATAAAAGCCAGCATTAATTTTCTGACACAAAATAAGGATCTATCAAATGTATTTGACAACTAAGCAAAGCACAATTATAAGAAATGAAAACAAGTGAAATTCAAATTGTCAGAAACAATGTAAAATATTTGGTTGTATGGAACACCTGAGCTCAGCTTGGGCTTCTGTTAATTTGGCTGCTGCAGCAAGCAACTCGGTTGATGGCATTGCAGGGCCAATCACCCTGTAACAAGATGAAAGCAATCAAGAGGTTAGATATTGACGCAAGTAATCCCATGCATCTGCAAAAAGCATCATACATTCAGCTTAAAAAAACCCAAATTGGAATTACTGCTACTGAGGTCAACAATTCATTAAAAAACAATCATTTACAGATTTCCAAGGTATAATGACAAAAACAAATATGTCTGGAAAATCTGAAATTATAGTCATCATCTAGACTATGGAAATAGGTTAAAATAAATATTGCTTAGTCTTTTTATATTTCCTTATGACAGAAGGTTTTTGTTTTATAGGCATTTTCTAAAAGTTAAAGCGTTGGGGATATCTGGTAATTATGCTGAAAACTGCAAAGTTTAAGTGCAACACTATTGATAAGTCTGGCCATGTACTTAAGACCACTGTTTTCTCATCAGATTAAGTTAAACATATAAACAGACCAGATCACAACCATACATCAAAGTCACACCACCTCCTCAAGGAAGCAACATCGAAATTCCTCTAGTCAGAGGATGACACATCAATTGCTGGATGTTTTTCTCTTCATTCTTTCTATAAAATCCTAATTATGATACTACCTAAGGACTTGGCCCACTTAATTACAGTTTTGAAACAGAGAAAGGAATAGATAGGGAATCCGTGAGCATTGATCAAATAGTGGTAACTCTCACTGCCTGTTTTCCTCACTTCTTTTCTTTTCAGTTGATCCATTTTCACACATTTACAACTATGGTGAACTTCCTATTAACAATGTTCATCTCACTTCATCCCTAAATCATCCTAACAGTTAGAACTTGAGACTCAATTTGGAAGTCTCATGTTCAAATTTTGGGAATATGTTGCAGAGTTTTGGGATGATGATGGCTACCTCCCATTTTGTAGCCCAAGACCCAGGAGGTCACCAAATGGAACAAAAGGAAAACTCATGCTGTTTTAAGAAAATTGATTGAATTTATAGCTTCTATTGGGAATAAGAAAAGAAATGCCAAAAAGAAAAACATAGGAAAAAAGCTTCGATAGCCACCTTTTAGGAGTAGCAGAATCATCTCTGTCTGTATTATTTTCATCCATCATTTGGCTACATTTGGCATTCTCCAGGATTGAGGGTGGATCCTTCACTGAACCAGAATTTGTGGGCTGTTGCTCTTTAGGTTCTGTATGAGCCTGAATCAAGTGGCCGACTACATCCAAGGTCGGACGAGAATTTGAAGAGAGCAAAAACACTCTATCACCATTCTCCTTTAGATTTAAAGAAAGAAATAGCTTCTTCAAATGTTTTTTCAAAGACCTTTCAGATATGCCATTTATGTCAACAGCTTGCCCATCATCAATCATTTGAAGAAGCTATAATGGAAACAAATATCAGAATTACATTGATGTCAGGGTAAAAGAAAGAGAGATATAAAAAGGAATGTAGGAAAAATTGGAGATAAAAATAAAAAATTTTAATGATAAAAAAGCAACAATCTTCACTTCAACCAAAATACTTGACTTCCATTCCAATCAGTATAAATTATAAAATTAAACACAAAACTGGAGAAGAAACAATATCCTTTTACCAATCTGCCTTACTTCTAGCCCAGAAGTCAAATCATGCAAATACCACCTACCAACTACTAGGAGTAATGCAAGGGAAACAAATAAGAAAAAAAGGAGAGAGAATGCAATCTATATCCAGTAATTGGTAAGACAATGCATGTGCTGGGATATCTATTTGTTTCAACTATGCCTTTTATTTCAAAAAACCTAAGTGGTCTGTAAAGGAGCAACATTAAAACGCTCAGATTTTTTTTTTTGACCAGTAAAATGCTCAGCATGTTAGACAGTGGACTTTGTAAAGTACTAAGTAGAACCCATAGCATCCATCTTTCCCTCACAAATAAATAAATGAGCATACATCAGCCTACTTAAGATGTTACACTAAATCATTAAACAAAATCCAATGAAATTATTTCTAACATATCTCAAACAAATAGTTCAAAATCAAATTATTCCCTCTATGGCCACAAACTCTTAATTTCTTGAAAATGAGCAAGACTATAAAAAGCAATAATCGCTTCTCTTTCTCTCTATCTCCATTCCTTGTTCTCCCTTATTCTTTCACAATCTCCCCCTTTACCTTTATCGTCTCAAAGAGCTACTCACAACCTATGTGCATCTTTTAAGGATACAAAGTCACTAGAGTTTCAATGGAGATAACAAGAAGAGGCCATGCCCTAACACATTTACCATTAAGCTTTAAGTTTCAACAGAATGTAAATAAATAAATAAATAAAGCTCAAGTAAATACAAGGGGAAAACCTCTTGAATCTTGTTTTTCTTTAAGCATTGCCCTCAGAGTTAATTTCTCATGTAAATTCAAGGGGGAAAATCCTTAAACATTTTTTGTCTTTAAGCATTACTCTCGAAGCTAATTTCTCACGAAAGGACAATAAACTTGGCAACGCCTTGGCTGTATAATGAGGTAAACAGGAAGCTAAAACCAGTACTTTAGCATTTGCTAAACTTGAAATACACCATCAATGGAGTTACGACATACTCCAAGGATAGCATAAAAAACAATCAACATAAAGAGCATCTCCATAATTTCTTCTTCACCGCCATCCGCTTGTATCAAAGCTTACATAATTTAGTATTCATCAATTGGATTAGAACATAAATTCCAGTTGGGGCACCAACAAGGACCAGTCGTGGATACAGAACACTGAGTTACTAATCTAGCAAATGTTATAAAAATATCCATTTCCAGGCTTTAAAAGCCAACTTGATATAATTACACTATAATGCTCAGCTAAGCACATGAAAACTCATGAATTAACCAGTAAACGAAACAAAACAATAAAAAAATTACAATAATTAAATAAAATCGGGAATTACCTGTTTCAAATCTTTGTCAACATTAGGAAACTCCTTCAGCATATCTCGGACAACTACTTCTGGCTCAACCCGCCCTTTATCGCCCTCAGAATCAGACTCAGACCCAAAATCGGAACCCGACCCGGATTCAGACTCAGCCCCATAATCCCTTTTCTTTTTCCTTGTATCCTCTCTGCGCAGTTTCCTTCTTTTTCTCTCCCTTTCTTTCTCCTTCCTCTTTCTTTTCTCTCTTTTTCTCTCTTTCTCTCTCCTTGAACTTCCGTCCTTCCTACGCCGGTCTTTCCGGTTCCGGTGACGCCTCTCCGTTGATGATTCGGAATCGTCTGAGGTTGACGGAGATGAAGTGGGTGTGTCGTATATATGTTTCTTCCTGGTTTTACTCCCCATATTTTGGGACCTCTCGAGCAGCAGAAAAACCCCAATCCCAGGATTTGTGTACAAAAACCAACTTGTTAAATTGTTGAAACATCTAGGAGTGGTTTAAACACATTTTTTTTACCTTCAAATTTTTTAATTTCTTCTTTAGGTACAACTATTTAATTTTTTTTTCTCAATTTTAAATTTTTGAAATATAGTTTTAATAAATTATGCATATTTGATAAATTATATAATTTATTAAATTTATATATTTAATAAATTAAACAAAATTTTATTAATATTTTATATAAATTTTTAAGTTTTCCTATAAATCTGAAAAATTTTAAAAATTTTCGAATATATTAACATGTAATCCTCGATGAAAAACTTAACCTCTTTAACAATTGCCAACCTCCTAGTTTTTACAAACTTTTTAAACTTTGGATCACTATTACTGACTAATTAAATCAAAACAATATCTTTTAATTTTAGTCATTTTAACTCATCAAGGTTATATTTTTATTTGTAGATTGCTCTTATTTATATATATATATATATATAAATTATTTCATTATATTTAAAATTTTATAAATTATCATAATTAAAATGAATGAAAGCTTCCTCTTTTTATAAATCACTATTAATTTAAAATTATTTTCGTCTTTAAATTTAATTTTTTTATAATCTTTTTAACTTTAAAATTATGCATATCATTTTTATTTCTATTAATTGAATTATATTTTTATTACTAATATTTTTTACAGTAAATAATCAATTATTTTTACTTTTTTATTTTAATAATTTTTTTATATTTTTTAAAATCAATTTTAGTATCCAATAGCTAACTAGATGTGAATAAATTTCAATAAAAAATATTAGAGTTTTATGACGTGTTGGCAAAAAATTGTAAAATAAACATCTAAGAGTACTTAATTACATTAACTATATGACGTGCTCGGCTTCGTCCGTTTTTTTAATTAAAATTAGTATAAATTATTTGAGTAAATGTTAAACCTAAAAGATAATTTTGTTCCGAAATTATTTTTCACAAAAAAAAATTGTTAAGTTTGTAAAGTGAAAATTATTTTCATAAAAAATTACTTTGTTTGGTCTATTTTATTTTTATCAATCTTGTTTAATCTAAATCACAGGAGTGGATTATTCCAGCATTGGTTTCAAATTAACACCTTTTTTATAATATGTATCATTGAAGTTTAGAAACATTTGGTACAAATAGAATTAGTTTCAAACCACTTAAATTCTATCTCTTAAAAAACTTTGATAAAAAAAATTAGAATTTTAATGCTTAAAAAAATACTTTATTCGACATGCAGTAACGTTACACACTTAAAATTTTTAATCAAAATTTTTTATTGTAATTTCAAAAATATTTTTTAACTTAAAATTTTTTCAATCGCGATAGTAATATTAAATTAGGCCTTAGGATATATGCAATCCAACTTGACATGCTATTTACAAATTGTTGAAGGCAAGTTGAAGTCAACCAAGCTATGTTAATTTGGTTACATTGGATTGCTGTTGTGCAGTAGAGCATTAATAATGTGTTTGCACAGCTACCCTTCAAGACAAAAGTTCATCATCCCAACATCAATAGCAATGGTAGCATCTGACTGATTTTGAAAGAACAATGGAGCCCTGCCCTAACAGTTTCCAAGGTAATTCTATTGTTACCATTTGGGTCTTTTCTTTCAATTATTTTCACCTTTTCATGTAACTCGATATATTTTAAATTTTTATAAAATAAAAATAATAATTTTATATAAAAATTTATTTAAATATATAAAAATAATACATAAAAATTAAAAATCGATAAATTAAATTGAATCAATAAAATTTAATCTAATTTAAAATTAAATTTAAAATTTTATAATATTATATAATATTTAAAAAATTCAAATAAATTTATTTCGAATCGAACCATTATTGCTTTAACCAAGTACAGTCAACTGCTCATGCCTGAACTTGAAATATGCCATGGGTTAAGACTTAGGAGAAGCTTCTGCTTTGCCTGTGCTATCTGCAATCTATTTTAAATCCACCTCATTTGCAGTGAGATAGCTGTTCTTTAGTATGTTCCAATGAACAAAGCTTTTCATTAATGATAAATTCAAGTAGATTCTATCGATTTGGCTCTCACTACACCCAATCGAAACCTTTGATTCCTGCTTATTCATCTTAGATAAACGTTTCTGGAGAAGCAAAAATATATAATCAGCTCCGACGCCTTTTCAATAAGCACAGAAACAAACTTACTTCCCCACTTCATAAATCTGCAATGTTCGAAATTCCTTTATTGAGTTTCCTATGATATATGGTTGAATAAATTTTTTTTTTATTTAGTAATGAAGTACGGTAACACATGTGATGAAGTTTATGGACATTGAATTTTTAAGGGTTTCTAAATTTCTAAATCAACCATGTATAATTTGTATTTTAATGAAGTAAAATGTACATATGATGAAGTTTTTGGATATATATTTTAATTTTAATTCTAAATTTCTAACTTTATTTATTAATGAGTTGTTAATTTTTCATTCATTGACATTATATAAACGATATACGCCGATAAATTATCAAATATAAAAAAATACAAATAAATATAAAAACAAAATGTTTAAACTTGCAGTTATTTATATGCAACTAGAAGACATGAAAACCATAAAATTAATTACAAATTTTCTTTTCCGTCATTGTTTTATTTAGTATCTTACAAACAGTACTGGACTCAGTAATTAGTAGTAATTAACATAAAAAATTAATTAATCCTTGGAGAGGTGGATTGTATTTAAGAAATAATTTATTTAAGGCCTCTTGTATCTGTTCCCATGGGTCTTCATTTGTGCATAGCAAGGGCACACATCCCTGTTAGCAGTAGGTCCTGGAGGCACGCACCCATCATCGCACCTTTGGCAGCAAGTGTTGCATGTTTTATGGCACATCTTGGGCTTCCATGACTTGCTGCACCTGAATGCACACTTGGTCTCGCAATCTGCATGTATTTATATCCAAATTGTAATAATAATAATAATAATAATAATAATAATAATAATAATAATAATAATAATTAAGGCACATTGCATGAAAATACTATGGACAGATAAAGGATGCATTTTCCAATCCAAAAAACTCTCTTGCCTTTACTTTCAGCTTCAACCATGAGCACCCCACCTGGAAATTGTCAAAAAGAAATAATTAATCATTGTGGTCAGGGTCAGGGAAACTAATTAAGAAAGAAAGAAAGAAATTATTTTAACAAGTAGAGCTTAAATGTATCTAAGATCATATATCTGTTTAATTTTTTTTTTTATAAAGGATGTCGTAGAGGTATTATTATTGGGATTTAAAATTTAAATTTATTGAATATTATTTTTAAAAATAAATATATGAATTAACTGATTAAATTTTAAATTCATATATTTATGAAATTAGAGATGGTATTACATTAATTATTCAATAATTGAAGACGATAAAAAATTTCAGTTGTTTAATTATTGTTTATAAGTTCTAACAAAATTTGATAACAACGATTGCTCCTATAAACCTTAAAATTAATTGCATATGTACCTCAGATATTAGGAGAAGACAAAGAACAGCAAGCAAAAGAGTTGTCTTGGTGCTGGCCATTTCTCAAACTTCTTAGGACAGTAATAAATGCAGAAAATAAAGGTTTTTTTTTTTCCTCTGTTCTTTCCTTATGGTTCCTACCATGATCCTATCTGAAGGGTTCTTTTATAGAGGATAGAGGTGTAAATTTATGGCATGATCTTTATCTTTGATATGAATCAAAAAGTAATTTTAGGAAGCTAATTTCTAATGTACAACAGTTGAGCCATTTTTTTGGAGGAAATGACCAAGAAATAATGAATGGTATGGATAAGGCGGGCTTTGCCAAAAGATAAAAGTAAGGATTATGAAGCTGATGAATTAATTAAATTTAATCTAAAAAATTTGAGGCTAATTAAGTAGTCATATCCAAGAATTAAACATGAATTAAGCATTTAGTAATGAACTCAAAATTCCATTATCATCAACTCGATTGTCAGACAGGAAAGAGATTTGAGACGTAAGACATGAGTTTATTGCATTATTTTTTTGGATTTGAGGTGAAGTAAAGTGTAGATAAAATTTTCATTTCACAATGGAAATATGTAATGGATTTACTCAAAAGATTCAACTTGCTTAATTACAAATCAATAGCTACACCCATAAACATGAATAAGAAGTCAATAACTTAAAGATGTTACAGAAAAGGCCAATGCAAAGAATTTTAGAAGTTTAGTAGGAAGTTTGATTTCTTTAACCCATACTAAATTGGATATTGCATTTTTTATTGGTGTAATTTTAAGGTTTATGCAAAATCCCACAAAGCATATTTTGGAGCAACAAAAAGGTCTTGCATTATGTTGTTGGAACTACAGATTATAGGAATTGGTATTGGCAAGTTACTAATTTCAGATTATATGGATTCACTAATAGTGACTAAGCAAGTTTATTGGACGATAAAAAGAGTACTTCAACAGGTGTCTTCACTCTTGGATCAGGTGCCATTACATGGAGTTCAAAGAAATAAGCTACAACAACTTTATTCTCTTCAGAAGCTGAGTATATTATAGCAACTTTAGTAACCTGTCAAACAATTTGGATTAAAAGAATTCTTGTAGATTTTTATCAAGTTTAAGAAGGAGCAACTAAATTTTTTTGTGACAACAAGTCAACAATTGCTATGGCAAAGAATCCAACATTTCATGGGAGAATAAAACATGTCGACATTCGCTTTCATTTTATTCGTAACTTGGTTTTAAGTACAAACCCAAGATCATTGTGTGAAAATTACAACACCGTACATGTATAAAAAAGATCAAGCATACATGTTTGGTAGTCATTGTGAAATTACGGAAGCAAAATGATGATCTTCTTCTTCGATCTTCTCTTTCGTAGTAGTTTCTCAATTAGTAGTTATCGAATATGAGAAGTGAAGAGGGGACCTTAGCCTATTATTTAAATAACCTTATTAACCTCCCCATTAAAGGTTTACCAAGCTAAAGGCCTACACAATTGTCAAACCACACTAACCTAGTAAGATATGCAGAAACCCAAACTTAGGTGATCACATAAAATTAATTGGACTCTCATGCTTGTCTCGTATTAGGACAAATCCATCTATCAGTTTTATTAAATTAAAATCATCAATTAATAGTAACCCAATTACAAAAAATTCTAACACTCTCCCACTTGAGCAATATTGATTAGGTTGTTCGATTTTAAGAAACTTTGACTTAAAAACAAGACTCTAGGCTAATTTAGTTTACTTTTATGTGACCATAATTTTTAAAAACAATTGAGCCCTTGAGACAACATCTCAATGATCATGTCTAATAAAACTATCTAATACCAAATTATGGTAGCCTTTATGTCCTTTATTGACATAAGACCAATCCACAATTATGAATACTAGAGACTCTATCGATACTGGATCTTAATGTGACTGTGTAGTAAGAAAATAACACCTAAATGAGATTTCAATATATCATTTTCATTGTCAGCCCTCTTGCTAATTTCTCTAAATTTGCTGAGAAATCTCCACGCTATCCAGATGTGCATGTCTGTCTCTTTAATATCCTCGAGGTCACTTATTGGTATTATTTATTAGACATACCCAAAAGATATTAAAATCATACTTAAGATAGATACCAAGTCTTAAGACTTTACAATGCATACAACAAATTTTAATTTTTAAGGTGTTCTAACTTAATAAAGAACAACATAGAATATTAATCAGAGATGATCATCATTCAAACATAGAATCAAATATCATATAGATATTTCAAACATAAACATAAGAGTCCAACATAAAGATAAACCATGATGTGCAAGTATGAAACACAATGATATACTCCCACTAATGAATTACATCAAAAGACCCTAAAATCCTTATTCTTTTAATATGTTTACTAAACACTATAGGTTTTAACCCCTTAGTCAAAAGATCATCAATTATGTTGTTAGTCTCAATATGTTCAACAACAATTCATCATTTTTCATAAAATCTCTGACTTTGAGATATTTAATCTCTAAATTTTTAGACCCAATAGTGCTCTTGTTGTTCTTAGAAAATAACATAGTAGATTTATTATCACAATAAGTCTTTAATAGTCTAGAGATGGAATCAATAATGTGAAGACCTCAAACAAATTCTTAAGCTAAATTGCCTGCGTAACAGCTCCATAGCATGCTACAAACTCACTCTGTATGTTAGAAGAAGCTAAAAGTGTTTGCTTTACACTATTTCAAAACATAGCTATTCCAACCAACAAAAAAATATATCCTAATATGGATTTTATGTCATCTTGACAACCAACGAAATCAGAATCTATATACCCAATTATTTCAAGATTATACACCTTTTTATAGACTAATATATGATCTTTGGTCTTTTGTAAATACCTTGTCACTTTTTTAGCAGCAACCAAATGATCTATACAAGGATTAGAAAGATATCTCCCAAAAACTTTTACTGTAAAAGTAATGTCTAGCCTAGTGCAAACCTGTGCATACATGAGACTTTCAACTGCACTAAAATATGATATGTTCTCCATAGATTCTTTCTCCAAATCATTCTTTGAGTACTAACTAAGATTAAGTCTATCACCTTTTACAATGGGTGTATCCTTAACCTTACAGTTCTGCATGTTAAACTAACTAAGCACGCGATCAATATAAGACCTCTGTGATAATCCTAACAAATTTTGAGACCTATCTCTTTAAATTTCAATCCTAAGAACGAATGAGGCATCCCCAAGATCTTTTATGTTAAAAGTTTTAGACAATGACTGCTTAGTTTCATGCAACAAACCAACATTATTGCAGGCCTTTAAAATATCATCCACATACAAAACAAGAAATATATACTTACTCCTATTTATTTTAAGGTATATGCATTAATCAACTTTATTTTTCTCAAAAGTCAAGAAAGTAACTACATCATCAAACTTCAAATACCATTGCCTAAAAGCTTGTTTAAGGTCATAGATTGACTTTTTAAGCCAACATCTTAAATGCTCATTTTCATATTCCTAAAATCCCTCATGTTGTACCATATAAATCTCTTCTTTAAGATCACTATTGAGAAAAGCAATCTTCATATCCATCTAATGAAGTTTTAAATCAAAATGTGTTACCAAGGCCATAATGATCCTAAAGGAATTTTTGAAAGACACTAATGAAAATATTTCATTATAATCCACTCATTTTCTCTGCGTAAATCCATTTGCCACTAGTTTAGCTTTGAACTTTTCAATTTTTCCTTTAGAATCTTTCTTGGTTTTATACACCAACTTACAATCAATAGGTTTACACCCTTTCAATAGTTAAACAAACTTCCAACCACCATTATGAGCCGTAGAATTCATTTCATCCATCATTAAATTCATTTACACATCAGACTATATACTGTTAATAGCTTCACTAAAAGTCACAATATCAATAACATGACTAATATCATAGTCACTCTATCCAAGATAAATTACATAATCATTGAAGATGATAGATCTTATTTGCTTGGTAGATTTCTTTAGAGTCATTTCAATCTCATTTTCTTTAACTTACAGTACATCAACAAGAACAAGATCAGTAAGAGGAGGACTTATATCCAATTGCCCTTAATTTTTCTTTTTAATGGCCATTGGCATAACATGGCACTATGTTGTAGGCAAAGGAATAAAGACAAATCTAACAAATTCATTACTGTTCACAACCTCTCCATACCCTTATCAGCAATATCTAGCTAAAAAAACTTTGCCATTTGTGACTCTACAAGCTTAGTTTCGCGTGTAGAACAATAAAACTTATATCCCTTAGAATGGTTTGGATATCCTACAAAAAAGTAATGAGTACTCCTAGGTTCAGTCTTTCTTTTATAAAGGTTATAGATTCTAACTTTTGCAGGACATCTCTAAATTTAAAAATGATTCAAGTTGGGTTTCCTAACAGTCCACAATTTGAAAGGTGTTTTAGGAGCAAATTTACTAGGTACTTTTTTGAGTATATACAAGGCAATTTTAATAGCTTCACTCTAAAGAGATTTAGGAATATTAATCCTACTTATCATGCTTTTCATCATATCCTTAAAGGTGCGATTTCGCCTTTCAACCATACCATTTTGTTCAAGACTACCAGGCACAGTATATTGGATAATGATTCCACACTCTTCTAAGTATTTGGCAAACGGTCTCATATGCTATCCAATTTCACCATTTCTACCAAAATACTTACCACCACGGTCAGACTTAACAACTTTGATGACTTTCTCTACTTGTTTCTCTACATCAGTCTTGAAAATTTTAAATTTATCAAAAGTATCATTTTTTTCATCTAGCAAGTAAAGATACCCATAATAGGAATATTCATCAATAAAAGTAACAAAATATTTGTTACTATACAAAGTAGATGTAAAAAGTCCACTAATATCAGTATTTATAATTTTCAAAAGGTCAAAACTATGAGTTACCCCTTTTTTCATAGTTTTAGTTAGTTTAGCCCTTATGGAACCAACATAAATGTCTAATTTTTAAAAATCAAGATATGGTAAAATACCATCTTTTATCAATCTTTAAACTTTTTCATAA